ACAACGGTTATGTACAGAATTTGGGATTGAGCATCAGATGGCTAATGTTAAAACTCCTCAACAGAATGGTCGTTCTGAGAGAAAGAATCGCCACATCCTTGACTTAGCCAAAGCAATCTGCATTGGCATGAATGTTCCCCAGTCATTTTGGGGAGATCCAGTTCTTACCGCTGTTTACATCATTAATAGGACTCCTTCTAGGATTCTTAATTTTGCAGCCCACTCTTAATCTTACATCCCAATTCATCTCTTTTTTTTATTCCTCCGCGAGTCTTCGGTTGTGTGTGCTTTGTTCAGCAGTTGGGGCAGACTTGTACAAAGCTTAACCCCAAGGCTTTGAAGTGTGTGCTTTTGGGCTATTCTCACTCTCAAAAAGGTTATAGGTGTTACCATCCTCCCAGTCGTCGGCGGTTTATATCCATGGATGTTTCTTTCTTTGAGCATACACCATACTATAGTGGTTCAGTTGGTTCTCAGAGTGAATGGTTCCCATTAAATATAATGGATGATCACCTTCTTCCGTCTTCAACTCCTCTACCATTACCTGTTACTTCTTCTATGATTCCTCCTCGTGATACCCCTCCAGCAGGGGGAATTGTTCCTTTTTCATAGGTTTATAGTCGGAGACAACAGGTACAAGCTTCTACTCCCACGATCGACTGCCCTGTTCCTTCGGCACTAGCTCCGCCTTCTCAAACTATTGTTTCGCTTGATGATCGCCCCATTGCTCTTCGAAAGGGTAAACGTTCTTGTACTTGCCCTATTTCTAATTTTGTTTCTGATTATGCTCTCTCACCCTCCTATCGGAGTTTTCTTGTTTCTGTTGCCTCGGTTCCTATTCCTTTTAGTGTTGCAGATGCACTAACATAACCTCAATGGCGTGATGCTATGACAGAAGAACTACAAGCACTTGAGAAAAATCAGACTTGGGACATGGTTCCGTTTCCTATTGGACGAAAGGCTGTGGCTTGTCGTTAGGTGTTTACAGTTAAGCATAATCCAGATGGGTCAGTTGCTCGTTATAAGGCCTGATTGGTTGCCAAGAGTTATGCTTATACTTATGGCATAGATTATCAGGAGACTTTGGCCCTTTTTGCCAAGATGAATACCATCCGTGTATTAGTTTTCGTTGCTGCAATTCGATCTTGGCCTCTATATCAGTTAGATGTCAAGAATGCCTTTCTCAATGGTGATTTGCAGGAGGAGGTGTACATGGTTCCTCCTCCGGGCTTTCATTCTCTTGCTCATTCAGGTATGGTACGTCGTCTTCGTCGTTCTCTGTATGGCCTCAAGCAGTCTCCTCGAGCTTGGTCTGATCGCTTTGGCACTGCTATGCTCAAGTTTGGTTTCCATCAAAGTGCAGCTTATCATACCTTGTTTTTACGTCATTCAGGCGGTAAGACAGTTGCTCTCATTGTGTATGTCGATGATATTGTTCTTACCAGCGATGATACTACCGGAATTAATGAGGTTAAGAGCTATCTTGGCTGTCAGTTTGAGATTAAGGATCTTGGTCCCTTACGGTACTTCTTGGGCATTGAGGTGGCTCGCTCCAAGACTGGCATTTTCATCTCTCAACACAAGTATGTTCTTGACTTGCTTTCTGCTTCTGGTCAACTTGGGCTCGTCCTGCTGATACTCCGATTAAGCAGAATCATCGACTGACTGATTCTAAGGGGGAGTTGTTGTCAGATATTGGTCAGTATCAACGACTTGTGGGGAAGCTCATCTATTTATCCATGACTCGACCTGACATTGCTTATGCCGTGAGTGTCGTGAGTCAATTCATGCACTCTCCTCGTGCCCCTCACCTTAATGCAGCTATTCGGATCCTTCGCTACTTAAAAGGGTGTCCAGGCCGTGGTATTTTGTTTGCCAATCATGGTCACTTACGTGTTGAGGCTTGGACAGATGGTGATTATGCAAAATCAATTTCAGATAGGAGGTCTACTTCAGGTTATTGTACCACTATTGGTGGTAACTTGGTTACTTGGCACAGTAAGAAGCAGGATGTTGTCTCTCGATCTAGTACAGAGGCAGAGTATAGGGATATGACTCTTGGGGTAGGTGAGTTACTTTGGTTGAAAAACTTGATGACAGACTCGTGCCTTCCAGTGTCGCTTCCATTCTCACTTTACTGCGACAACAAGTCTACCATTAGCATAGCAGCAAATCCCGTTCAGCATGATAGGACTAAGCATATAGAGGTGGACCGTCACTTCATTCGAGAGAAGATCATCTCTGCTCAAATTTACACTCCAATTGTCACAAGTTCTCAGCAGCTTGCAGACATTCTTACAAAGGGCGTCACTAAGATTGTGTTTGAGAATGCATTGTCCAAGTTGGGCGTTTCAGATATCCACGCACCAACTTGACGGGGAGTGTTACCAAATATGATACCACGATTTATGGTATGACTTACCATAATAGCAGAGATTTGACTATGCGTATGTTAGCATATATGACATCTCTGCTATTATGGTAAGTCATACCATTATGGCAAGTTGGTGCGTGGATATCTGAAACGCCCAACTTGGACAATGCATTCTCAAACACAATCTTAGTGACGCCCTTTGTAAGAATGTCTGTAAGCTGCTGAGAACTTGTGACAAATGGAGTGCAAATTTGACCAGAGATGATCTTCTCTCGAATGAAGTGACGGTCCACCTCTATATGCTTAGTTCTACTGTAGGCTTTTGTCCAATCAGTCTCTCCAGCACCCTTGATATTTAATAATAGGATTTCTAATTCAATGAAATTTGAAAAGATTTTTTTTTTCCTTTTCTTGTGTCCTGAAAAAGAACTCCCACAATGTTTTTGGGGAGAGTTGAACCTCTTACCTTTCCCTTTGAAATGAGAGGATTGAAAATAAAGGAGACACCACTCAGCCACGCGCTTTGGCTATCCAAAGACATTGAAAACATATATTAGTCATGAAAATGGAAAATTTATTTTCCCTGAATGAAAATGGAAACATTCTGAATAATAACTTGTTGATTATCTCTGGAGAAAAACCCTGTGTAGGTGTCAATTAGTGCTAGCCACAGGGCATGTTGAAAAGTCAAAATACAGAAAATAGCACCCAGCTATAGCCCACGAGGACGACAATGTGGTAAATTGAAAAGTCAAGAGAATAAACCATAGCACTTCGCCAAGCAGGGACGGAGCCAATTAAGGCCTAGAGAGGACACGTGCCCCCCCTCACTTTGCTCAAACCTACTATACATAGATACATATTTTTGGTATATACATATACTTTTATGGTAGTTTTAAATAGTGCCCCCCCTCAAAATTTCAAATTCTTCTAATTTCCTTTTGAAAAAAAAAACAAAAGTTATATATATCCCTTCTTCAAGTGTACAATATATTTTTCCTTTTCTAATTTTTGTTTCCTTTTTCAAAAAAAATCTTTTTCACTGATGTATTTTTTTTTATTTTTTTTTAACTTATTTCTTTTTATCGATGACATTTGTGATTGTATTTAATTAAAATATTATTAATTAATATTTTGATTCTTATATTTGTAACTATATTTTTTTTACATTATTTATTTAGTATATTATTTTACAACTATTTTTTTCTTATTTGCCTTTTTGATTTAAAAAAATTATACTTCCTATTTGTCATATTTATTAAAAAAAAAAATTTCAACAAGTGCATTGTGCCCCCTCTGAACTAAAATCCTGGCTCCGCCCCTGTCGCCAGGTCATCAAACTTCGAAAGGACAAACTCTTGAAACCATGATGTCACGTTAAAACTCAAGGATACAATCCTCGATTTCAAAATAAACCCTGATACAATGCCAAGTCATCGATCCTTGAGGACATAACCCTCAAGCTTTAACAAAACCCTGGCACAATGTCAGATCATTAAATCTAAAAAAAGCAGCCTTTGTGTATAAGCAAAAACATGGCAATATGATAGGTCATCAAGCCTCGAGAGCACAACCCTTGAGCCGTAACAAAACCTTGGCGGCACGCTAGGTCATTAAATTGCATAACATATTTCTCGAGTCTAAACAAAGCCCTATTATCATGCTAAGCCAATGATGCTTAATATCATAAACACTCTGATATAAAATTGTGTAGTACAAAGAGAGATGAAGGTAGGGTCATCTCGAGTACTTGCAATCTTCTCTTGGGACACTTAGAAGGATTTTTGGATTGGAGAATGAGAAGTCAGAACTTGTCTGCCTTTGATAATAGGCCTATCCAAAGGGGCGGTGAACCGCATGCCTCAACAGATACCCTTACAATCACAATTAATGTGTCGATACAAAACATTAATGTTCTAAACTACCGCAGCTACTGAGGGCCAAATGCATTTAATGTTTATATTAAGACTAGCACACCACGCCAAAGCAGAGGCATGATTTAAGGATGGATTGGACCTCTTAGGTGCCTAAGTCCATCATAACCTAGCAGGATAGGTCTCCTGTAATGATTAAAACTCATCGTGAGCCATTGGGTAATATCCAATAGCCTCAGACTACAAATACAACCATTAGAGCAAATATTAATCAGTGTTCCAGTAAAGAACCCCTACACCCTAAAAATTGGAAACATGGGATAATTCATGGAAAATGGATACTTGATGGGAATTGTAAGATATTAGATATTTTGGTACCACCAGGGCAAAGAAATCCTGACAACTTGGAATTTCAAACCTGGATATAATATGCATCAACATTGTTAGCTCACTACTAAAGTCCAATGTGGGTTTTAAGGCTTCTTCCTAAAGTTGTGTATGCATATATAACAATATATTGCACACTGAAGAGCAACTGTAGAGCAATTACAGTATGAGATTGACAATTTCCAACCGAATTGGGATTTTATATAATTTAATTTCATAGCAAAAAAAGAGGAAGAACGTGTAGCAATTAAACTAGCAAAAAAAAAAAAAAGAAATGACATTTAATAGATAACAAAAAGGAAAATAAAACAGAAATCAAATAAATGGTGCGAAGAATAGATGGAATAGAAGGAAAATAGACGTACGACATCCCCTGAAGAAACAGCCAAGTGGGTGAGAGCAGAAGCGAGCTTGATACACCTATGGAGAGTGTCTCTCCAGGTGTACTTGACATGATTCCCATACACGATAGAGAGTCTGTCTCTGTAAACGATCGCCGATCGTTCCAGGAAACTTATTGGGGACAGAGGGACGTAGTTGGCTGAGCATTGAATCGTGCCCTCCATTGCTCGTCAATGGTTGGTGAGGTCTGATTCTATATCGAAGAAGAGTCGGAAGACAAATGCCATCCGCTGCAATCCATCTCGAGTCCTCCTCCGCTCAAGTCATTCATGACGTAGTAGCACGTGTTTGTAGTATGTCCTCAGTGAGGACCATGCTGTTCGGCTACCGAACTGGTTAGGCTGAGCCGATAGGGTGATGTATGGTTGGTTGATAAATAAATGAGAGAATATAGTTAGTTGATAAATAAAAGAGAAGGGAGGAAATGATAGTAATTATTATTTAATAATTAAATAAATAAAAGAAAAGAATTATAATAAATTTTTTATTATATTTTGTTTTATAAATTTTTTCTTTTATAAAAATAAGGGCAAATTTAATATTAACAAAATTTTATTAAATAAATAGTATTTCCTTCTCTTTCCTCTCATTTTGGGAAGGAACAAATCCAACTTATCATATATAGTTTGATTTTTTTCAATCCCTCCATTTCCTTTTTTTATCCTTATAAATTAATATTCCATCAAACATAACATTTGATTTCCCTCCATTACCTTTTCTTTCTTTTCCTTCCAATCCCCACCAACCAAACTGGGCCTCGGTGATGGACCACTACCATGTGAGCATCAGCTTAAGCAAGTTTCGATTTAGACATGCTAATTAGTGACCTAGTTAGGCTAAGCTGATTTATCTGTTTTTTTTTTTTAAATATTAATCTGTAAATGTAATTGAATTTGTCTGACCAATTATATATATATATTTATTGAGTACCAACCGTTAAAATTCTACAATGATTTCAGGCTTTTCTCTGGGAATGATTCCAAAATTATTTTTTTATGAAAAAATATTATTTATTGGACCTATAATATAAATTGAGTTAAAATCTACTTTAATGCACCAAGTGGCTCAATATAATTTAATTTTTTACCATATTTATGTTTTTGGTTTGAATAACATAGTTGTTCCGTTTCGATTGAAAAAAAAAAATTTTAAATAAAAAAAAAAACTTAAATTATTTACAAGGTCCAGGACATATTCCACTTAAAAATGTCAAATCCTTTTATTTTGGTCAAGTGGAGGAGTTTCATGAATATTCTTACAAATGCCTAATCCCCTTTCAACTAAGTATTATTATTAGTTTATCTTAACAAAATAAATTATACATTCATTTGTTTGTTATGAGTAAGTTGTATCTTTCATTTATAGTTATATCTTTCGTATTTTAAGAATAAGTTTCATTTTAAGAGATATTACCTGGCCAAAAAGAGTTGAATTGAATGACAAACTAATGCACAAGCACCGAAGACCACAAAAAAGGGGGTAAGTAAATAATTTTCAGATGCGAAGATAAAAAATTCAATAAAATAAAAAATAATAATATTATTTGATTTTTTACCTTAATTTATATATTTGGTTCGAGTAACATAGTTGTTCCATTTCGATTGAAAAAATAAATAAAAAATATAAATTATTTACATACCCTTCCAAGACACATTCCACTTAAAAATGTCACATCCTTTTATTTTGGTTAAGTGGAGTTTTATGATCATTCTTACCAATGCCTAATCACCTCTCAACTAAGTACTACTCCATTAGTTTATCTTAACAAAATAAATCACACATTCACTTAGTTTATATTTCATAATTAAGAGTAAGTTGTATATTTCGTTTTAGGATATATATATACATTTATTTTTTTAAAATCTTAAATATATTACGTAACAAAAAAAAAAAATGAATGGAATGACAAACTAATGCACAAGCACCCGAAGACTACAAAAGAAGGGTAAATAAATCATTTTTATATGTCAGGAAAAAAAAATTATTTTTATATGCAAAGATAGAAAATTCAGAAAAAAAAAATTATATTAATTGATTTTAAAATCACTTTTAATATTTTATATATATCGAATTCCAGTTTTGTGTATTTTAGAACACATTCAACATATAACAATTCTGATATCCTACGTGGACCGAACAATAATTAAAATTATATTTTATTATTTATTTATTGGAATGGTCGAGGGATTGAAACCCTTGACTTCGGAGTTCGAACGAGTTGAACATTTCAGTGGATTTCTTTGTCTATTTAACCTGAAACAATATTAAAACATTTTAACTTTATTACTAAAAAAGGAACACACTCGTAAACCAGTGGCAAATGCAGTAATACCGCATTGGCTCACACGCTCTTCCGCTGCCATAAGTCATAATTCATAAACCCTTTCATAAATCCCACACGCTCTATCTCCCCACTGCGTTTGTAGCTGTAGCCATGCGGAGTCTAATATCGGGTAGTCTGAGCAAGCTATGGGGTGGAATCAGCAAATCACTGACTTCGCCGTCCATGGCGGCGACGGCTCGTAGGTCTTACGGTCTGGTACCAATGGTGATCGAGCACTCGTCTAGAGGAGAGCGTGCCTATGACATCTTCTCGCGCCTTCTCAAGGAGCGAATCATCTGCATAAACGGCCCGATCTCCGACGACACGGCCCACGTCGTGGTGGCTCAGCTCCTCTTCCTCGAATCTGAAAACCCCTCCAAACCCATTCACATGTACCTCAACTCCCCCGGCGGCGCTGTCACAGCAGGTCAAAAATTGCAATTTAGATTTCATTCATTCCTTATTGTTAAATCGCGTATTTCTTGAAATTTTAGATCTAATTTGGCGTTTCTTTGATAAACCACGATGTTACTGTTTTGATTCCAATATTTGAAATGAGATATGCAAAAATCATTAAAATTGGCTCTAGTCAAGTAAAAAAAAGGGTAAAAAAACCAATATTGCAAATTTGCTCTTTTCTGTTTGTAATTCAATTGTTTATAAGTTACTGATTTCTAGGGTTTATCTCATTTTATACTAAATTGTTCTTCATCTGTGTCCAACTCAATTAAAGGTGTCTCATCCCACCTTACAATTGAGTTTCAGCTCGGCCATATGGACAAAGAGCTACTTCCATTAACAAAGTCTTGCCCCAAATATTTGAGATTGGTTTTATGAACTCTGTTATGTCATGCTATTTTAACTAAGTTTCGACGCATAATCATATTGTTCCTTCATATCTCAATCCCAACATCTACCATGTCACTCTTTCTCAATGGTGCAATGATTTTGATGCGTATTATGGAATCATTTTAGTTGATTATCTTATTATATGTCCAATGGGATTCTAATTTTAAATCATTAATTCAAATAACATTATCAGTAAGTAACATTCACAAATCATGGACACAGGTAAAACACAACATAAACAAAGTTACAAGACAAATCCTAAATAAGTAAGGCACAGACACAATGGAGACGCTATGAATAATAAATTATATTACGAGACCAATATTAAATTTTATCAACCTAAGAATAATAAAGATCCAGAAATCACAATGACAAAGGAGATATAACAATAACTAGGAAAAAAAGGAGATATCGCAATAATTATTTCATTTAAAAAGAAGAAAAAAAAGTGAGCGAGAGAGTAAGTTACATGCATCCATGGAATAACATCACACTAAATTTTATCTTTATTTAATTTTTTAATGGGAAATTGAACTAAGCATCTTTCATTTACCTTTACCTCATTTCCTTTGAGAAGCCATGAGAGCTTATAGAGTTGTGGATCTTTCTCCGTCTTGAGTTGCAATTTTTCTTTACCATTTTTGGAGCCACCACAACTCCCACCGTCAATGATGACATCACATACTTTGCCACGAGAGGTGCATCAAGTGTGGAAATGTTGTTACTAAGCTGATTAGCTTCATCTACAGGGGCTGAATTTAAGCTTCTATGGATGACAAGAGACTCCTTGATCCCCTAAGTGATATTCTCTTCACTCGCCGAGTCTTACTGGGTGTTTCTTTTTGGGACTTTTGTTCAATTTCCTCTTCAACCAGTGAAACTATCTTGCGGTTGGAACATTCAAAAGCTATGTGATCAAATCCTTGGCTCTTAAAACACAGGAGAGTTAGATTGGAGGTATTGGGATGGCTATGGTTACTCATGCAATCACTTTTGAGAGCTGGTCTTGAACTAGTTCCCTTGTTGAAGAAGTGTTAGAAGTGGAAGCACTCCCTCGGTTAAAAATGTCTCTAGGACCCAAAGATCAACCTCCATGTGATTCTTGGAGATGCCTTTCCACCTTGATTGCTAGCTTGAATACATCATTGTCGGTTCCATACGGATGTAATTGAACAATTTTACCAACTTCCAGCCGAAGTTGCGGCAATAGTTTGCTCCTCTCGTTCTAACAGATCACAACGCATCATGAGATTTCAAATTCTGTTGTATACTTTTCCACGGATAGCTCCTTTTGTTTGAAGTTATGAAACATAATAAAAGCATCTTGTTGGCAATACTCTGATATAAACTTCCTCCTCAATTCTTTCTTAATCGTACCCCAACTTTTAATTCCAAACTCCCTTAGGAAAGAGAGAGAATGGGCTGTTCTACAATTTCTAAACTACCTATGTAAAATATGTTGCAACCAAAACCCAAAAAAATAGATTAAAAAAGAATGTAGTTGTACAAAGAGAGAAAGAAAGGAAAAGAGAGAGAGAGAGAGTTTGATCAGAATTTTAAAAACGCTTTTAGGGCTTTGTTGAAAAAAGTAAAGATGATCTGTTCGTGGAGAGAGGATCAGTTAAAGAAAGAAAAAGAAAGGGAAAAAGAAATAGGGAGAATTAAGATTTTGTTGGGGAAAAGAAAGGGATTTGCATGGCAAGAAGATGAAAAAAGGGAAAAGAAAATTAAGAGATAGAGAAAGAGGATTTGATTAAGACAACGAAGAAGAAAGATCGTGGGTGCTCAAGCTTCAATGTTCGTTCGTAGGAGTTTCGAAGTGCAAAAACTCTCTGTTTCCTCTTTTTGATCTTAGAGTTTGAATTCTTTGAATAGCAAGCATTTAGCGTAAAAAGTGTTGGGATTATATGCCCTTCAAGCGGATGTTTGGATTGTATTTGACAGTTATGATTAATGAAATATGTGTTAATTAAATGTTATGCTTACATATATGGTGAATGCTTGTGGTTCATGAGATGAATCAAGTTGTCCTTTGATTATGTAATGTGATTTAAGTGTGTGAAATAGTTTCATGCACGAGAAATATAAATCACATATATTACATTATCATAAAATTAGTTTGGATTCTATGATAGAATTTGGACACTCTATCTGGAAGAATGTAACATGTTGGTTTCTACTTGTTAGTCTCAATCATTTGAATGGAAATTTTAGAACCATGCGTGTTGATGTGTTGGGCACATTGAATTCGATCGAGGATAAGTTGAGAAATTACGATAGCCGTTATAGTATTTACTCCTTATTAATGTTATAACCAGTGACTTAAACCTGAGAGAGTAATGGACTCTTGCTTTTGGTTAGTGGTTGCTTTGATTTATTTCTGTGGGCCCTGCCGCTCTAGGGTCTAAGATCCAAGTATTTTGGGTAACCATTGATTATTGTCATTGGAACATATATACTCAAGATGGTATCTGTGCTAAAATATTTATTTTAACTTGATTAGTTTGATCACAGAAATCCAGGTTTGGTGGTTTTGATGAAATGGTTTATTATATAGTTTATTTATTAAGTATATATTATTTTCTTGAAGAAAAACTTTTGTATGATCAAGTCAAATTAATCAATAAGTCAAAATAGAGGTTTAATTGGTAATTGGATTGATGACATTTTTTTTTATCCAATAGCTAATTATGCATAGAGGGGTCATCTCATAATTTAACACGGTGTGGCGTTACCATTTACTACTTGGAGTGCAACTATTTTTATATAGCGGGGTCAAAAATAGTTAATGGGTTATTTAATTGGGTCAAGAGTTGACTAGTCTTGTAAAGAGCCTATTGGAGCCAAGTGGGGGATGGGCCCAACTAGATCCCACTCCTAGCCCAAGTCCGGGGGTTAGATTAGTAAAACTTGGAGTGAAAGAAGTGATAGGGGCACCCCTTGGGCATTTCTATATATGTGTGTTGTGGGTTATTAGCCCTAGCCTCTATGAGAAATTCTCTCTCCGCACAACACACATTTCTCTCCAGGTTCTTCCTATATTCCTTTGGATCCCACTCATCCAAGGCTTGGGGCTTTCATAAGAGGCCGTAGGAGTGAAGACTTGGGGGTAAGGAAGCCATTGGAGGAGAGCTTGGAGCAAGGAGAAGGAGATCATAGTTGGTAATCTACAAGTTGCCCAAGGGTATAACTTCTTTCTCTCTCTAAAGTATGATTATTATCTCTTTATGCCTCTTGAATTTGATTTCTACAAGAACAAATGGGTTCGGTTTTGCTTCCGCTATATAGACTCATTTTCCAACAAATATTAGGTAAATATAATTGGTTGATATTCAAAGAATTCCTTGTATTTTATACGTGAACTCATTTTTTTTCTGATTTTTTTATTATCAAAGATTCCGTTTTAATTCCACCCATGTATCCGCGATGTATCTATTGTGTGTTCACAGTGTATCCATGCGTTACCACTTATTTAAAAAAATCGGACATGTTTTTTGGTGTGTTTAGGGGTGCAAATGAACCAAGTCGAGCCGAGCTTTGGCTTGTTCGGGATCGGCTCGCCAAGTTCAGAACGGTTTTTGGGCGAGCTCGTCGCATACCAGAAATCATCCTCTCAATCATTGTCATCTCCGCAAATCAGTCTGTATTTTTCTTCTTCTCATAACTCCATCAAACGAAGGAAAAAAAAGGCTGCCAAGAGAGAGAACATGGTTGTGAAAGAGAGAGAACATGGTTGAGAGAGAATGAAATGGCTGAGAGAGAGAAAGAGTAACAACCTTGTAGTTGTTGTTGTTGGAGTAAGATTATTACATCAGTAGCCGGTAGAGTAGCTGCCCACACTGGATCTGCGATGGATTGAGAGGTCTCATGTGGCTGCTGTCTCCAAGAAGAGTTGGGAACTTAGGCTTTCTATTCTTTCTTATAGTTAAATCATGTACAATATAAGTGTAATCCAACGGTTATGATGAATGTATGGGTTACTGGGCTAGTGGAATGGATGTAGGACAAGTTTATAAACACCTAACAACTACATGAACCTTTAGAAACTCTGTGTTTGGGCCAAAACTTTGGTAGCAAAATTTGAAATATTTAAAAAAAAAAAAAAAAACCTCTTCACGAGATTAGCAAGCCAAGCCATAGTTGTTCAAGGTTAGGCTCGTTTATGAAATGAGCTCAAGCTCGGCTCGTTTACTAAATGAACGATCCGAGGCGAGCTTTTAATGAGCCGAACTCGAGCTGTTCACGAACAGCTCGGTTCATTTGCAGCCCTAGGTGTGTCCCATACCTGTCGGCCCATCAGACCGTGCTCAACATGTGTCCATATCCAACACATTTACTTCAATCTTTTAGGCGTGTCCTTGCTTCCTAGGCATTCACATCCTGAATGTGTCTTGCTTGTTCATCCATAATTGAGGTTGATCCTTGATGTAACGTGATCAGAAATTCACTTGTTTTTCTTCCTATTGTTGTTACTGTAGTCCTTAATTATGTTGTAATTAACTCTTTTCATTCAGTAGACTATTACCTAAAATGGTCTCCATTCAGATTTTTTGGAAGGATGAGTTGGGCACTAAACTAGGTTTTGGTACTACCTATACACGATTATTGCCCTCAAGCTCTAATTCACATTGTCATGCTTTACCATCTGATTACCCTTTTTTCAATTTCAATGTTAAATAGTAAATATTCTAATAAGATGTATATATTCTTAGCAATGGTCATTATAATGATATATCTTGTTAACGATTTGCTAAATCTTAATAAATATATTATATTGGTTATAAACATTTTTGTTTAAGCAGGGTTTTACAATTTAGTGTGAATGTTTGATTTGATATTTTCTTTTTTTTGTTCTTTAGTATGATTGCTTTTCAAGGGTTTCTATTTATTAGTTGATTCCTTTTCTACTCTAAAATGAAAACATAAATCCTAATTTCTTAATCTTTTCTATGTAGACGATTCTGATGAGATATGTCAATAATGAGTTTGAATAAATCACTGACATATTGTTATGTTTTTTATTTGTGCTCTTTTATATAGGTCTTGCTATTTATGATACAATGCAGTACATTCGTTCTCCAATCAATACTATATGTTTGGGTCAAGCTGCTTCCATGGGTTCTCTCCTCTTGGCTGCTGGAGCAAAGGGTGAGAGGCGGGCTCTCCCTAATGCGACAATTATGATTCATCAGCCTTCGGGTGGCTATAGTGGACAGGCTAAGGACATGACCATTCACACCAAGCAGATTGTTCGGGTTTGGGATTCACTGAATGCATTATACTCAAAGCATACTGGACAGTCTGTAGAGACAATTCAGAAGAATATGGATCGGGATTATTTTATGACCCCGGAAGAAGCAAAGGAGTTTGGAATAATTGATGAGGTTATTGATCAGAGGCCAATGGCTCTGGTGACTGATGCCATTGAGAATGAGGGCAAAGATAAAGGTGCAAAGTAGGATTTGAGGGTAAGATCTCTTGTTTCCTTTTTTTCTTGGGTGCTCTATTTACATATTGTTGAAAATTTTTGCGAGACCCAAAATTCTTTTTACAGAACTTTTTATCACCTTTAGCAATCAGTTGAAATCATGTTATTTGATTTGTTGTTATTTTATAGTTCTCTAAATTTAATATGTTTGATAGTGTGTTTTTAATTATTTTATTTCTTTATTTTTGTGCTGTATTTGACTTTGGTTCTATGAATTGTGGATTATTTAATTGTAAATTAGCTATTACAGACACCAAAGTGATGAAGATTATAATATTTGACTGCTATATGGTTTGGGGAATTTTGGGTTTAGGCATGGGCATTGAATAGCACACACCTGAGCTTGCTTATAAATATGTTTGAGGCCTATTGGTGCAGTTCACGGCTATGGCCTACCAGCCTGTGCCCTGTTCCAGCCAATTTATATTGGGCTAGCATCATGTTTGTGTTTAACAGGCATCGTATTTTGCTATTTATCCTCATTATGGGTCATAGCTGGGTTTGAATAAGAACTGTTAGCATAAATGATAACCACGATTTATGGAATGACTTACCATGATAGTAGAGATTTGATTATGCATATGTTAACATATATGATAGCCACGATTTATTGAATGATTATGCATATGTTAACATATATGAGAATATTGCATGAAACATTTTTTTGCCTATATATGTAATTTTAATTAGTTAATTTGAATTGTGATTGGACATTTTATTGATTATGAATCTAATTTACGAGGTATTTAGGTGTTCAAGCTTGCTTTGTGAAGCATCCCGAAACATTAGTAGCATGTTATGATTTAAAGGGCTCAACTTGGAATTTCTGCGAAGCCTTTTCATATTGTTATAAATTTGGTATGATTAGAAGATTATAATTTCATCAATTTTGAGGACTGTTCTCCTCATTGTTCGAGTTAGGCTATATGAAGGATCTTCTTAGGTGATCATCTACTTAGCTACACTCTTTCCATAACCAGCTTACTCATTATCCACTATCTATTGCTTTCCTTGGCATTTCTTCTCATTTTAATGAGGACTAATTTATGGCTTTCTTATGCCCAAGTAATTACACACAAAATTTTGCGGGGAGGGACGATGAGCCGGAGAGTTGTTCGGGGATAAATGTAGCATACAAACATTCAACTGATGGTAGATCTTTTGGTAGTACAATGAGTTGGAATATCAGAATGAGATGTGCTTTTAGACAAGTGTTCTAAATTGCATAATTCTTGTCATTACTTGGTGGAAGTTGGAGTAGGGATTTGGTTGTGATACTAAAAGAATGACTATATAGAGAATTATCTCCTGTTGGTTCCAAGGTTTGAAATTGCAGTATTGGTTTATCTAATGGTAATAGTCACGGAAGAAAATCCCTTCCTGTGAACAGTACATTCTGTTCCGTACAGTTTTGGTTGTACTTTTTACAAATAGGTAGGGATATTTGCTAAACATGCCAACCTTTTTGTAACGTACATCCCAAACTGGACGGAATAGGTCCTACTATCCACTGGTGAGGATTCGGGTCCTAATAGTCACAATGTAACAATACCAGGAGTCTTAGGAAAGACACAGCGGAATCAGTTATTGCAGTGCTGAATTTTTTGTCAATCAATAACAAACACCGAAAGCTCACTCACATGCATGCTTGAACCCCTGTTTGTCACATTTAAATACTTCTAGTTGTTTTATTTTTCAATGTTATCACACCTAAAAGGATTTTTTAAATTATTTTTGGGGGGTTTATATCAATTTTAAATTGAACTGATAACAGAGTGAGACAATTTGTGATAAACATTCCACTATTTACTTCAATTAATTACTAAAAATGTAGGCAGTTTCTTGATGACCATCACTGTCAGCACTATGGGAATGGGGGATTTACCATCGGTTTAGGAGATGAACTACCACGATGAGTTAATATAGACGATGATGATGGGGTTCTGCAACAACGGCTTTTTCTTCGTCATTCGCGATTCTGGTATGGTCTACTTTGTTGCTTTCTAGGGTTTGTGTGGTGACCGTGTGGATGCTTTTTTATGCATCTCAGAAGACGGTAATCTTTTTAGTTGAAGTTTGTGGTTAGAGGTGGTTCTCTACGTATTTTGTTACTGTTTTTGTTTTTGAGGATTGTATACCTAGAAATTGTTTGATAAAATGCCTGGCTTAGAGGTGACTTCAAAAGAAGCTGGGCCTTCTCCTAGTCTGACTCCAATATTGGGAGGTAGTAGCGATCACCATCCAGGCCTTTGTATTATGACTGTTAGGCTGGATGAGACGACCTATATGGAATGGGCTTAATCTGCTTGTATGCATATCACTGGTCGTAGGATGATTGACCATATCGAAAGGACTGTTACGTATCCCTCCAAGAGTGATCCTGCATTCAAAGAGTGGAGTGCAAATAATGCTCTAGTTATGACGTGGTTGTTGCAGTCCATCTAGCCACAGATCAGCAAAGGGTTTCTGTTTGTGAAAACAGCTAAAGAGCTATGGACGGCTGTGGAAGAGATGTATTCCTTGGGTTGTAATTTTGCAAAACTGTATGAACTCCAACAACAAATTTCAAGATTCAAGCAGGAAGACCAAACTCTTGCTACATGTTACCACACTCTATGTGGTAAATGGGAAGAGTTAGATCACTACCAAGACTACATACCTGTGTGTACAGCTGATGTTAAAGCATTTCATGCTATGGTAGAGTTGTATCGAACAATTATTAGACCGCTCATACTTTATAGTAGTGAATGTTGGGCAGATAGGAAACAATATTTGCATAAAGTTAGTGTATCAGAATTGTGAATGTGGAGATGGATCATGGATGTTCACTAAGACTAGAAAGGATAGAATTAGAAATGATCATATTCAGGAGATGTTTGGAGTAGCACCAATTGGAGATAAAATGAGAGAATCTATTGAAATGGTTTAGACATGTGCAAAGACGACCTCTATATGCACTGGTCAGAAAAAGTGACATAATTCACATTTTGGGTAATATTAAGGGAAGAGGAAAACCAAATATAGCGTGGGTAGAGTTAGTAAAGAAAGATATGATAGCGTGTCAATTGACTAAGGTTATGACCTTAATTAAAGCGGAATGGAAACATGAGATTCATGTAACCAACCCCAAGAAATTGGGAAAAGCTTGGTTATGTTTAGAAAAAAAACATTTGCAGCCTCATTTGGAAAGAGCATACAAGTGCAACAATAAATCCATCTCCATTTTTTGTCCAAAGCTTGTGTGCAATAAGCATTGATGTTTGGATGAAATAATATGAGAAAGAGAATACATGTCAGACATGAGAAAGGAAAGAACGATATATTTCAAAGAGGAAGAAGGAACAGAGAAGAGCTCCAATACAGAGTAAAAGAATGAGAAATGGCGCTTTAATATCACGAGGATTTTACACAGGAAAAGAAAAAGAACTAATAGCACCACATTACCATGAAAGGCGCTGTGCATACAAATGCGTTTATCTAGTTGCTTTATGAAATGGACATCACTCAGTGGTTGTCCCGCTTATGCTGCCGGAGATAGATTTAGTTATTGGTATTACTTATGTCATCTCAATTTCCAATTTTCCCGTTAATGCTTTTCTCAAAGAAAAGATAGAGTCATGAGTAACATGTTGCCCCTCTTGGGGTTTACCGCCCTTGGAATCCTCAATAGACTGACTTCCCTTCAAAAGAAGAAAAGCAATCAAAGAGGGAAGCCTATATTGATGTTCATCAATCTCTTGTTGCCAAGAGGTTGTCAGCATAGTGATCTTACAAAGAACGGATTCTAATTGGCGCATATTGGTGCATCCCAATGCTGGGACTAGTGGATGATGAGCAACAAAAATTACATGTGGTTGTATTTGAGTGGTACTCGACCATGAGAAAAAGAAATTGTAGAAGGCTAGCTAATTGACCAGAGTAACTGAAACAACATTTATGGACATGTTATATGAATAACACGTTTATTTCTGTTGGAGATTTATTTTTCTCTTGTTGCTAGCCAAACTAGCTTAAGCCAATTTTCATTATTTTGTTATCCAGTTGCCTACTGTTATTCATTACACTTTTTTAGTCTGTGTACTCTGAATTATTTTTCCATGCTCCTTACCAGAAATTAAAAAATAAAGAATAAAAATTGATTCACATTTGATTACCATCTCTTGACCAAGAACAACATTACAGTGTTCGGAATTGTTAAAATTACTAGCCTGAATAAGTATTGATTTTTTTATTTTTATATTAATTTGGAAAACTAACTGTTTTTAAATTTTTTATTTTTGTGCAGTTATTTTGGTTCCTTGGCAATGTCTCCAACTGTGTGCTTAACGGGAAGTTTGTTTATTTAATTTAGGAGTTAACACTGGTGAGTATGGAAGTGAATCCCTTTTTAGAAGTCAAGTTTTACTCTAATGGTCGCTTTGAGATTATAAATTGCCATTAGGAACAGGCTAAATTATCTTCTGATTTCCTCCTCAGCAGATTCTATGATTTAGGCAATTCTTGCCAATTTGATAAATGATTTTTTATGCCAACATGGGCTTGCTATGCTTGATTCTGCTTTAATATCGTTGTTGTCCAAGATCATCTTCCATCTCTTAGTTTCGTAAACACCATTTTATAAATGCCATGTGAAAGGGGAACATGCAACTCGTGGTGCTATTGATTGAATGATCCTAAGGTTGTGTTTGAGAGTACCGAATCGATGCCCTAAATTTGGGATCGGAGAAGTTTAGTTCAAAATTTATACTGAACTTTCTCCAATCCTAAATTCAAGGCGCCTATTTGGTGCCGCCAAACATAGTAAGTAATTTTTGAAAAATACTTGGAAAAATATTGGATCAGAAATAGAACTGCAAAAATACTGATGCGGAGTACTAAATTTAATAACAATGTCATTTGGGGATGAAAGAGAACTTTACATGTTTTCTGGTTCATATTTAGTACAATAATTGTTATTGTCTTTTATTGTTTGTACTCTTTTAGGACGCTGGCAATTATTGATAGGAGTGAATGAATAAACTCGTGTTTATTGTGAATGCATCCATGCAAGACATCTTTTCCAAATACTGTGAGAGCTTTCAATTAATCGTTTTAGGTCAGAATTTCAGAAAATTGAATGCTTTTGAAATTTTAATAAAAACGAGTGGCATCGGTGATGCTCGTTTGGTTTGCCAAATTTCCTTTTTTCTCGTACCCCTCGTCGTTGGGAAATTCTAAATACTTGGTTTGCTAATTTTTTTTTGTTTGGGCAACGACATTTGAAATTTTAATAAAAACGAGTGGCATCGGTGATGCTCGTTTGGTTTGCCAAATTTCCTCTTTTCTCGTACCCCTCGTCGTTGGGAAATTCTAAATACTTGGTTTGCTAATTTTTTTTTGTTTGGGCAACGACATTTGTTGTAAGCTCTTTAAGTTGTACTTGTAACCTTAAATTAAGGTGGCATTTGGCTTAGCTTTTAAAGCAACCTTAAAATGAATTTAACCCATAGAAGTCCGTTTTAGAATCTCCAAGACATCAAAAGAGGCCTTGAAGTCAGTTGCCTCACTCAAAGTGCTTCAATCCAAACTTTTTCACATCTGCACTCAATTTCTTAAACTAATTTTTACCAACATCGACTTGCTCAACACATACTTAGGAAACACGAATACGAGTACGGTTAGGATATGGTAAAAAAAAATTATATTTTTATATACAATAAGTAATATTTGGGTATTTTTTTATAATATTATAAATCTAATACAATTATTAAACTGTTTTAATTAAAGAAGTAATTAAATACAACATAAGAATATATCTCAATACTTATATTTTAAATAAATTATTACTCTGTACGATATAATCACTAATTTGAGATTTAGGGTTAGACGAGTGTTGTTTTTGTTTTGAACTAAGTATTAATTTTCTATTAATTGATAATATATATATTTTTAAAAGTAAAAATTTACATAACAATGTCATTGTGTTCCAAAAGTGTAACGTCGCACACTTGTCGGGCTTCTATCACTCTTGTATGCCCTTTCTAGGTTTCATATCCATCTTCAATCAACTTGATTTTCATTGGCAAAGTGACCCACAAGGATTCATGACCAATACAACCCAATTGCATTTCTTTGTTCACACACCACTTTACAAATTTAACTTTGGAATGGAATTTGACAACATATAAAAATAAGCAGCAATTTTTTTTTTTTTTGTTCAATTTGATTTTACTAAACTACAAAAATGACATTAATTCACAACTCGTAAAAACAGAGGAATTTTAAATATTATGAAATTTATTTAATTGCATAATGAATTTCTTGAAATGTGTTGACACGTATGTAAACGATGTAACTTATAATCTCAATGTTTATAGCATACGGTATTATTTTAGATTTTTTTTTTTTGTTAAATTAAATATTATATTAAATTATTAATATTATTTTCTCATATAAATTATGAATTTTGTAGGTTAGTGTTAAAGATCTCATACAAAATATTTTTATTTGTTTTACTTACTTTATAAATTTTGGAACACATGTCCAATTTTTATTGGCCATTAAATACACACAACAAAGATCCGACATCGTTAACCATGGTTTGAATCCATGGCCCATGGGGGGTTTACGCGTCATTGGCTTACCATACTGCCTTTGCCTCCGCTACCGCGAGGAAATTCCCTAACAAATAATACTCTCTCCCTCTCTCTCTCCTCTTTCTCTCTCTACACACTTTCTTCTCTCATCGACCGCCTCAATCCTCCTCTTTACCTCTGCAACTGCAATCTCTGTCTCTCTCTCGCTCTCTCTTTCTCTCTGTAGAATTCGAATGCGGTAGCCATCTCGTCCCTTACAGTGTCCACCGAGTTTCTTGATTTCGATGCTCTAACGACTCCACTTTCCGGCAATTATCACTCCGGTCGTTCTTGTCTGGAAACGCTCCAGCGTATGATGGTGGGTTTTTCTAGGGTTTTAGTTGATTCAATTTGATTGTGAAACGGCCTCCGAAGAAGAAGACGTCGTCGTTGGTTGCCTAGGGATTTTCGACGCCATGGCTCCCGGGCGTAAACGTGGAGCCAGAGGTGCGAAGTCGACAAGTGAGTTGAGGTTGGGCGATCTGGTCCTCGCCAAGGTCAAGGGCTTCCCTGCTTGGCCTGCAAAGGTGTAGTTTCTGATCAATCAATGTTGTTTTTATGCCCAACTCTTTTCTCTTTTTTCGTAGGTTTTCGACTTCAATTCAAATCTACGTATTCTAATTACATCAATTCTGTTAATATTTGGGTTTTACACAAGAAAATTAGATTTTGTTTGCAGGTTCATTAGGGCTGGTTTTTGTAAGCTTTTCGGCAATTTAATTGTGTATATATATATTTTGGGGGCCTATACATATATTGGATTTGGTTAGGTTTAATATTTATATGAATTTGGTCCAATATGGTTTGTGATTTTACATAGTCAATGCAACTCGACTGGGTTTTGTGGGGAATCATTATGAGGTATACGAGTTCTGACTGTTGGGTTTCTAGGATCTTTGTGCGTCATATGCTTTATTACTTTTAACGCAAGAAGTCACTTTCAAATTTTATTGATGAGCCTTTTGAGGTATATTATGTTGGTGGTTGTTTGTTCTTGCAGGGTTTCGTTATTGATCTATCTATTTAACCTTTTCTATATTGTATCAATGCATCAAATATGGTTTGGTTTAGTGGGATTATACTAGTTTTTGAGGTAATGGTTATTGAATTTATTTTAATCAACTTACTGAAAAAAAAATTACTTCACTCCTTGGTGTCAATTCAGTTAAGAAAGTTCCTTTCGTATGCCTGCTTGATTTAATTTCTATGAATTGGTTGAATGATTTAATGGTGAGGTATTGTTCCTTGTTTTTGTTATGCTTATATATGCTTACTTCCCTTTAGATAATTAGGTTTACCAATGCTTTGATTAGTTTTGTGGTGCTTTAGGATACTAAATTTGTTTGATTTGTTGATGTAAATTAGGTTGTCATAATGTTTGTTTTACTGACTTGTGTGATTTACCTTCGTTGATCTTACCAATGGGTTGTTTATCTATAATGGAGGGTAAGATAATGTGAGACCTTGGTTAGAGAGTTCAAGCATTAAAGAAATTGCTAGGTTGATATGACATTGGTTGGGGTGTGCATGTGGTAGAGAAAGTTGGGGTTCTTCACATGGGGCATGGGGGGATTGGCTATTGACTTTGTTGCGTGATTGACTCCTTAGTACACTACATTCGTAGGTTTGCACACCTCATACGAAGACTCCGAACAAGTACCTTGACTTTGTGTATGAAACTCAAGTTTACTTCTTGAATTAAGAGGTGCTATAAATTAATGCGAAAAGTTTCAGTCTTTTATCATTTACTTTGTTGGAGTTTTTGTTGTTACTGTTTTTTCCGCTTGTGTTGTAATTGGTTGTAGTTGTGTTATTTATATTAGTTCTTGTACTATCCCCCCACCCAACAAAAAAAAAAATATAGATTTGGTGTAAGAAGCTTTATTTGTTCATCAGTTTGATTTGGCTCCAAGCTTGTTGAATTAGATGTCAAGGACTTATTTATATGTACATTGCTTGGCATTAGTGCTCTATCTTTGTTTTAAATTTATTTAGTTTGATTTACATTTTCCATTGGCATTAATTGCTTGCTTATGTGGGATATGGCTATCTTCTAACTTACATGATTAGTTTTTTAAGTAAGTTGTGTGGATTTTGAATTTTTTCAGATTAGTAGACCTGAAGATTGGGATCGAGCTCCTGACCCTAAGAAATATTTTGTTCAATTCTTTGGAACAGCAGAAATGTAAGTTCTCTTTGTTCATGTTTTATATAAATGTTTATTTGTAGTAAATGACTTGAATGGTTGTATGATTCTGAATTCAAACATCTATTTTTTGGTTTTAACTGGATAGGACTCCCAGTGAAGATAATTTCTTGAACAGAAAATGAATTCTGAATGCCTAACATAAAATTTCCATTGTAGAAAACTTTGTAACTCGAAAAGGTTGAAGTAGCATCTTTTTGGGATAGTATAAAAGGAAACCGGATTAGATGATTTGGACATGTGCAGCGAAGATCTAAAATTTTATCAATGAGGAAGAGTTATATGGTCCACATTGAAGGTTGTTAGGGGGAGGGACAAATCAAAACTCATTTGGACCAAGATGGTAAAGAAACATATAGTAGCGTTTGGTTTGAGTTCACTTATAGCCTTATAGCAGAATGGGCAAAACATAAATAATGTAGGTAACCGCAAATAGTTGGGAAAGAGGGTTCTCGAGTTGAGTTGAATGGAAAATACTTGGTAGATGAGGTTGTTGGTAACAAAAGGACCAACACAAATAAAGTATTCTTGCATCTACTTCTCATATTTCCATTTATGAAATAGTTTGCATGGATGTTCATATGAATATAAAAAATTAAATTGGGTATTTTTGCTTATTAGTTCATTAATTATTTTCTGTTGCTCTCTCACTTGATTTTGTGCCATTTATGTTGACAAAATGTACCATACATGGCATTTGTCTTAAAATGCTATTATATTCTTTTCTCTCTAGGTCATCACAATCATGGATTCTATGGCTAAAAATCTAAATGTTCTTTTTGACATTTATTTGTTATATAAATTTGAATTTTTTTTTTTTTTTGGTTTGGTTACTATTTTAGCTAGTATATTTGTTGTTTTAAAATTTCCTTTTAGCTAGTAATTTTGCAACTATAACCATTCATTTATAGTTATTATAAGAGTTCTAAATGTAATTGGAAACTTAATTTCAATCATATTTTATAAAACTCAAAATATAAAAATTTGCCTGTTGACAATCAATCGAGCTACAACTTCAATTGAACAAAGTATTGCAGAAGCCTCCAATCGATTCGGCTCCAGTCGTCACATTCTGTTTTTCTTTTAAAAAACAAGCCAAAGTTTGATGGATCCAAGAAATCAATTGGTCGAAGTTATTGTTCTCAAAATCTTAGCTTAGCTTAAATTCATTTTAATGCAATTGACCCAATTGCTTATGCTGGCTAAGGAATTTTATTTACTCTTTCCTAATCACTACATTAAGCTTGATGACATTTTTGTGTCATTTTCGTTGTTGTTTCATATTCATTGTCTTTCCTTGCAAACATATAGACTCATATTTGTTCAATACCCTTTCCTAATCACTACATTAAGCTTGATGACATTTTTGTGTCATTTTCGTTGTTGTTTCATATTCATTGTCTTTCCTTGCAGATGTATAGACTCATAGACATTTTGTTCAATAACAACCAAGTTTTGTATCGATTGCCAACACACGACTTAATGTACTAACAAGTTTTTTTTTTTATAAGTAAAAATATATTAGAAAAACGTTCAAAAGGGGAACGCGTCCCTAATACAAGAAGAAAAAAGATCTAAGAACCAATAGAATCCAAGAGATCAAAGAAATCATCAATCGAGGAGCATGCATTTCCTCTTACATAACAGAACAAAGAACGAAGAATATGAATTTTTAAATTAGCTAAAGACGATTCTTTTCTTTCAAACGATCTGTTATTTCTCTCACGCCACAAACACCACCAGCACGATGCGGAACAATCCTCCAATAATCACGAGCTTGTTCTTTAACAGAACACCTTCTCCAAGCATTAATCAATTGTGAGGAGTGCTAAGGCATTACCCAAAAAACGCCAAACATGCAAAAAATAAAGCTCCAACAATCATACGCCACAGGACAATGCAAAAGAATATGATCCATGGATTCACTATCAGCTTTACATAAACAACACCAATTAACAATGATGTTGCCTCTCTTTCTCAAATTGTCCAATGTCAAAAAATTTCCCAATGGGGTAGTCCAAACGAAGAATGCGATTCGAAGAGGAGCTTTAGAACGCCAAACAGACTTCCAAGGAAACTCGTGACCAACGAAATTTAATGTACTAACAAGTTAAGCCACATGCAACCATCTTCTTTTAGGTATTTTGACCCAATATTAGCTTTGCTCTTTCCCTTCCTTTAACGTCACTATTAATAAGGATTACGTCACTTTTCTTGACAGGTACAGATGTTGCCGTCTGGACGACCGAAAATCTTAATTAGTTCACTCATTTTGTCTTTTAGTGGTGCTATTTCAACCAACTTAATAATGCGTATATTTCTAATTTTATCCTTTTTTGTCTTGCCACAAATCCATCTCAACATTCACATTCGGCTATTCTGATTTTATGAAAATGTTGTTTTTAAGCCGCGTCCCATAAATATGACTGGTATAATAGCATTATTTTTTTAAAAAAAAATTTACTCTGATTACACAGGATGCTAGAAGTAGAAGCACTCCTCCATTTCACCCATCATGCTTTAATTCTATTATCAATATTGTCTCCAATTTCTCTCTCTCCCTGCATAATCTAGCGTTTGTTATGAAAGTGCTCACATCTTTTACCCTTTGTAGTCTTTACTCTCAATTTTCACTGCATCTCTACTTGTATTTCTAGTTTGTCACATTTTACATTTTATATTTTAGCATTATTTATCTTAAACCCTCTTAATTCTAGAATTCCTCTTCAAACGTCCAATTTAACACTTATCCCTGCTATAGTTTCATAAATAAAAACTATATCATCAACAAATAACATACAAGATGAATTTCTCATCCAAAATGTGTTCTATTAGTTCATCGATAATTAGTAAAAAACATACTGGATCAATTAATAAAAAACATACAAGCTTAATGCAGATTCTTGATATAAGCATACAATAATTTGGAATTTACTTGTTTCTTCTGCAATTGTTCTTAATATGGTCATTGTTATGTCCTTTAGCACATCAATATATTTTATTAGTAACTGCCTCTTTTCTAAGACCCACTACATTATTTTTTTAGGAACAATACAGTAGGTTTTCCTTGATCTATAAAAATCATATTTTCATATTTCTTTTTCTTCTATATATATTTTTAATTAATCTCCTTAATTGAAAAATGACTTCCATTTCTGACCTTTTGGCATAAATCCAAAATTGATAGTTGGACATTGTTGTTTCATGCCTTGGCCGTTGTTCAATAACTCTTCTTAGAGTTCCATAGTATGCCTCAATAATTTGAGACTGTAAAAAATTGAATAACTTTGAATATCCACTTTACTTTTGTACATAGGTTGAAATAATTTTAATACTAATGAGACATTTTTTAGTTATTAAATTAGTGAATGATTTTGTTTGCAAAGACACCCCATCATCACCAAAACCTTTCCAAGCTTCTATAGGAATGCAATCTCTTCCTAAAGCCTATCCCGATTTCATTTATTTAATGTTTTTTTTACCTTTCGTATCATGATCCTGCTAAAAAATGTTTTTCTCTTAAGGTTACCTTATTTTTCTTAACATATGCCGTCTATATGGTTTTCATTCAACAACTTCTCTAAGCAAGTTTTTTTTTTTAATTTCGTCATCTCTCACTAAGACCTTTAATATTATTCAAAATCTCTAGATCTTTTCTTTAATTTAGCAAGTTTTATATTCTTCTCCTTGTCCTTTGTACCTAATTTGGAATAAAAATAATCATATACTCCATGTTTAGCTCCTCTATTACTCTATTACATTCATTTGAAATTGGACAACTCTACTTCATAGCGATCACATGCAGGTAAATTATGTTGTCAGAGTTTTCATTCTTCATTTTGCTTGAATATCTTTTTTGTGCAGCTTTTGGCTTTTATTTGGAAGTTCATTGGTGGAATGTTGAATATGGTTATTTGAACTTTAAATTGTTCCTGCCTGTGAGGGTTACATAATGTGGGAGTTCAATGTTATGGTTAATTTGCTTGCTGATTTGCCTCAGGAACAATTTTAACCATATTCTTTAAATTTATTCAGCTGAGTGATTTCTTATCATTTGGTTTTTAAGCGGATAGCTACTGATTTATACCTTCTGAATTTGTTCCCTTCTTCAAAGAGCTTTTGTTGCCCCTGGGGATATTCAGGCATTCACTAGTGAGTCAAAGAGTAAATTGTCAGCTCGATGCCAGGGTAAAACAGTTAAATACTTCGCCCAAGCTGTAAAGGAAATCTGTCAAGCATTTGAAGAGTTGCAACATAAAAATTCTAGTGGTTTGAGAGATGATACTGATAGATCAGCTCTTGGGTGTGAGGCTCCTTCAGTTGATGAGGTGGAAGATTATGCAGCAGAGATTGACTTAAAAGCTGGGATTAGTACAGATGTACCAAAAGAAGAAACAGAGACTAGAGGGCTGAGTGATCATGGGTTTGGGTTGGAGCAGCATAGAGAAGGTGAGATGGAATGCCGTGATATAAAGCCTAATATATCATGTAATGCTAATGACAGTTCTTCTCCAGTGATATCTTCTAAGAAAAAGAATAAACTGTTCAATGATGGTCCTTATAAATCAAACAAGGAGGAGTTATCTGGATCCAGTCCGTATAATCTTTCCTGTATGAAGGAAGAAGTCTCTTGTGATAGCAATGAAGAAGACAAAGTTTTCCGCTCTGAACGCTCAAAAGTTACCGAGGGCTTGGATTTTAGTCAGGATAATAATTTATTTGATGCAGAAGAAGATTCTTCTAGTGGCCTGTTATGCAATAAAAAAGAGAGTTCACCTTTGGTTGCATCAGTTCGTGGACAGAAGTCACTAACAAATGGTCACAAGTCAGAGAAGATGGTTATTGGGTCAAAGAAGAAACACGAGGGTTCTTTTGAAGTACGCAAAAGTAGTAGTTCATCTGCTCTCACGTCATCGAGGTATGATAGTGCTTGTGGTCATGTTGATTTACCTAAAACCATCGAGCGTACTAAAGATGGAATACAAAGAAAAATTGACTCAGGCAGCAGCGTGAAGGAATCATCTCCAGTGGTTCGGAAATCAGATCTAGATGTAATTGGTGGAAAGAAAGCGAAGAAATTACTGAAAGCTAAAAGACAAGTTGAGTTGGCAGATGATTCAGAGAAGGATGCAGATGGCAGTTCCGATGAACAGGCCAAGGGCTACCTTTCTGACGGGAAAAAGAGGGCCCAGCTTGAAGTTTCACATCCTGCCAAAAGGTCTAAACATGCAGATGTGGCTGATGAAACTACCAGGGTACCGATCCAAACAAACAGAAAAAGTGATTCTCGAAGTTCTAATGTTTTCGACAACAAAGCAGTTAATGCAGAGCTTAAACGCTCTACATTACGTTTGAAATCTGAAAACCGTGTGGTGTCAAGAGTTTCTACTGGTAATATTGCATCCAATATTCCTGGTGGTGAAGATGTTCTACCACCAACTAAACGCCGTCGCCGGGCATTAGAGGCTATGTCTGATTCCGCAACTACAATTCCCGAAGATAAAAAGGAAAAAAGTTCTGTTGCTCACAAAAATGACGTTTCAGGTTCTGATAATGTTAAATCCCCTGTGACTCAATCGCACACGAAACGCAGAGCTGTTCGCCTGTTTGATTATGATGATGATGAAGACCCAAAGACTCCGATTCATGGTGGGTCCGTCAAAAAGTCTCAGGCACCTTCCTGTGTATCAAATTCTACGAAGAAGAACACTGATCCACATCATGAAAGTCCTATTCATGATCAACCAAGTGTAAGAGGCTCAGGTGGAGCTGATGAAAGCCCTTCGGAGGAATGCCTACCTTCTACCAAACCACTTAATGCTTCATTGTCACCTAATCCCCCTCGAACTGTAGATGAGAGGCCTAAAAAGGCAATTGCTCCACAAGTCTCCTTTAGCCCTGGTAAAACAGAATCCGAGAGAGTGTATTCCAAGGAGATTAAATCAGTACTGCTTTCGCCTAAAATATCTCCTTTGTCGGGTGCTGCTGCCAAACCGCTAGTTGAACCACATAAAGTCAATAAGCCCTCGATTAAATTATCTGGTGGTACTAGTATTCAGAAAAAATCTCAAGCTGGGTCTAGTAAGAGCTCAGGAAAGGCTTCTGATGGCTTAAATTCTTCTCAAAATCAACCAACAAATCAAAGAAGTAAGCCACTATCTTCAGGAGAGAGACAAAAAAGTACTCCGAAGTCAAATACACGGATGAATGATTCTGCTCCTCCTGTAGTATTAAATATGGAGAATAATCTTTTACCTGGTGAAAGGTATGCTTTAATTTGATTCTCCCTAGGTCCTAGTTTAATTTTTCTTTCTTTATCATTTATTTTGATGTTTATGGTGGATTTGTCAAATCAGACTGGAAGATGGTAGAGACAATAAGTTGAGTTCATTGATGGATTCTAAGGTTGCTGATTCTGTTACGTCCATGAAGCATCTTATTGCGGCTGCTCAAGCAAAAAGAAGACAAGCTCACACGCAAAACATTTCTCATGGCCATCCTGATTCCTTTTTGGCACTTGCTAATGATCTGCCTGGGAGGTACCCCAGCCCCGCCTCTGCAGTTCAGCCCTTTTTATCTGGCTCCAGTGACATGATGCAACCAGATATACAGGGTTATTATCCTCGCACATCTTTAGCTTCTCCATCTACTCATGGTCACGAGTATTCTTCAAATAATCTACCTGATGCTGAAGAGCTTGAGGAGAGAAGAGTTAGTTCAGGACATCGGAATGCTGGGGGTTCACTGAGTGGTGGTACTGAGGCAGCTGTTGCTCGTGATGCTTTTGAAGGAATGATAGAGACACTTTCAAGGACTAAAGAAAGTATTGGACGTGCAACTCGTCTTGCAATTGACTGTGCAAAGTATGGCATTGCAAATGAGGTAGTTAATTTGTTATTTTTAACTTTTATTTTCTAGATGTTCTTTTCATAATTGGTGAACTTTATTTTCTAGATGTTCTTTTCATAATTGGTTAATGACTAGCAAGTTTGCAGATTCAGATTGTTTAGTTTCTCAATATTTATTCTTGTCTATTCGGTGATTGTTTTCTCAGTGTGAAATCATCTGCCTTCTATTATCTTCATATAACTTCTGACCATTGCAGTTAAGTGTCAAATCTGTTCATCCTGAGCTCGAATGGAGTTGGGAAGTTGACATAAAATTAGTTGTCAGGAAACTGCCAGTTTTATTGTAGTTTCTTTTATAAAATTCGGTCCTTGAGATTAACCAAAACTCATGATAATTTTGTTTCATATCTACAATTGTACTCTTTTCATCAAATTTTCACATTTTTCTTGTATGTGTAATTTGTAGTTCTTAAACTGCCAATTTATATAGCGTACTCTCAACTATAGATGGCAACAATGCGTCATAATGTTTACTACAAGGCCAATACAAATTTGAGGATTTCATAATGAAAATCAAGTAGCATGGATAGCTGGAGAGATTTTAGGGTTATCTAGGGCAAGCTTGTGCGATCTTCCAGTGTGAGGAAGCTGTTTAGGTGGTTGACTGAGGCACCATCATAGAGGATGTTTGCTAGCAGTCAGCTGCCTTGAGAGATCTAAGATAGGTGCTCATTGGAAAAATTGTGCGCCCCATTACCTATAGACTGGGCATGCATTAGGTAATCTACCTTTATTTATTATTATCATCATTATTTATTTATTTTTGGGTGGTGCATATGTGATACTTTCACTTGGACAGCTGCCAACTACAGAGCACATTTTTTTAGTTAAAATGTTTCTGATGTTCCCTTTTCTGTTTTTTAGGTAAATATGTTTCCGATGTCAATGAAACAGAGTTAATGTCACTTGATTTTAGACCCCACACACACAATAAATAAATAAAATAAAATAAAAAAGAAAACCTTGGCTCATCATCATCATCGTCATCCTTACCTTTGTCCCGTATTTTACGTGGTCGGCAAAAAAGAAAACATTGAGTATGAAACAAATTTTATGCTATTAATCCCGTTTTCAGATTAGTATTCTGCCCCCTGATTGAACCTTTCTATTGCTTTCATGAAGTGAAATCGTGAATCATGGCTATATTAAATATTCCCTCTGCCTTGCTAGATCATACTGATGAGTAAAAAAATAAAAAATTATTGAGAAGTAAGATTGTACTTTGAATAAGCATTTTGCTTTAGGAATCACTTGTACTGCCTTAACAGTATAAATTATACCTTACTCATCCATTTTACCTCAATTATTTGTGTTTAAAAGGGTGAAGAAGTTGGTAAAAAGATATATTGATGAATTTATGATACTTAAGGTGGACAACAGTTTGAGGATGGAGGAAGTATCTTCTATACTAAATTGATTTCAAATTCTTTCTGCTGCAAAAAAGTGAAAATTTTAGGGAAAAGGCTCATTGCAAGATATATAATGTTCACCAACACATTTTTCATGATTGAAAATTCTGTAGTCATTGATTTTGCAGTGAACACTTTCGGCACAAGAATATATGACAGGTAAGTTTCAGATTAGTATAAACAAGAAGTCGTATTGGCAATGTGGTGGTTTTATTGGACGATCGAGAGAAGGAAAATAACCTGCATGCCAATCAAGAAGTCTTCTTGGTACAACAGAAAGTGTCAACACTACTTATAGGTCCCTGGTTTTATTATGTTATGGGTTAAAATATTTGCTCGCACCCTTAATATGCAAAGGTACAAAGTATTTTTGAGTTACCACAATTTGGGATGGCAAATGTGTGATTCAGTTTGGTTGCTATATATTTTTTTAAAATAGACCCTTTATTAAACTTGGGTTTTTGTTTATACCCGGTTTAGTTTTGATTATTGCTGTCTGCTAGCTAGGAATTTTTTGCCCCTCTTGTTCTTGTTATTGCCTATTGGTAACTAATAAGTGGTGTTGGGTTACATGAAAGATGTACTCTCTAGCTGGAAGCGTATTGAATGAACCAGAAACCCAAGGATGTTTTAGGCATCTCCGTTATGCCTTTGTGTTGTATATGGGGGGAAGAGGAATATATCACGACCCTGAAGATTAGGATGTTAAGTGCTTTCCTCTTTTAGAATCGTTGGGAGATCATCTACTTCGATTGATTCTTATATAGTATTTTTAGTAGGTGAGAGTACAATGTTCAATACTTACCGTCTAGGAAGCACGGACACTTCTGCAAAGGAGCCCTACCAGTGTCGGACACCGACACTCCTCGGATACGTGTCCGACACTTCATATACGTGTCCATAAATAAAAATTAATTCTATTATTTCAGACACTTGGCCGACACTTCCCGGACACTTCATCGACACTTCTGGGGCATTTCAAACACAAGTCTACCCAATAATCTTGAAAATATTATGAATACTATCATGACAAAGTAGTAAATAATGGTATATATGATATAAAAATTATTACAATAATAACAAAAATTTATTTTCTAATTCATTTCAGTGCAACTCTTAGTATAGAAATTATAAATGAATTAAAGTTTTATGATACTATTATTGAATATATGTATAATAATAATAATTTATATTATTGTGTACCCTATTCCACGCCGTACTCGTGTCCTACTTTTTAAAAATTTGACGTGTCGACGTATCCCATGTCCGTATCCATGCTACATAGCTTACCGTACATCTTATTTACATGGGTACACCCCTTATGCTTTGCATGATGGTGTGCGTGTGTGTGTGTGTGTGTATATATATATATATTAAAGAAAAAGTGCGCTTAATCATCACATAAATTCTCTTAGGAAGTGGAACTTCATTTTTTGTGCCAGCACCGTCAGGTTATACTAGATGTTTTAAGGGTCCCAACAGTTTGTCCCATATAGGTGTAGTTGGCCTGATAACTGTTTAATATAATTTCCTTTTTTTTTTGTCGTATTTGTTATTCGTTCATCACATAGATTGCACTGGCCTCTCTCCATTTTTTCCATCCTGATATATTTCTACTAGATATATCACTATCTCTCCATATTTTTGTATCATTGATCCTAAATATTGAAAATGGTTACCTTGGTGAGGGTGCATAGTGGGAAAGCATGCACAAGATGCTTGGAGGGTTTGGCCCCCTTTGTTTGTGATAGGGTTGATGGCGGGAAAGGAATAGGAGATCCTTTGAAAGGGGAGGAGACTCCTATTTTGGCGTTCAAATTCTATATTCTTAGCTCCTTATTCTTTTGGATACATGGTAGGCATTGTAAATCTTTGGAGATCTCGTGTATTTTTTGGATTGCTTGAGGCCATTGTGGATCTTTTGTTCTTTCTGCAATTGTATATGGGATGCGCTCCCATTTTGAGTGCTTTTCTATGCAATCATTACTTATACAATATATATGTTGAAGGTGGTTATTTTGAATGTCTTTGGTTTTGAAGTATGATCATTGAAATATGAACATCTGAATCTTTATTAAATTTACATTCCATATATTTGGTTTTATAGTTCTACTAATTTTCAACCATTTTTTATTCTGATACATTTATCCTTATTTACAATTTTACCGCTAAAGTTTTTTTTAGAAGTATCCACCAACACTTTATTATCAGCAAACAACGTGCACAATGGAGGGTCTCCTTGAAAGTCTTTGGTTATTTCATCTAAAATTATTGCAAAATAAATATAGGCTTAACACTGATCCTTGGTACAATCCCTTGTTTATAGAAAACTCACTAGTATGACCACATATAGAACGGACTCTAGTTTCAGTGTTTACATATATATTTGGATAATCTTATTTTTATATGATTTTTTTTTTTTGGTAAAGCTTTTTGTGAATGAAGAGTTGGAATGGAGGAGAAACAATCTGAATAAAAACATAGCAATTGATTAAAATGACCCTCCAAAGTTCATGGTCAAACAAAATTTTATTTAATAGTGACCCTAATTATCATAGAAAAGCATCTTCCAATCCTCTGGGCATCGAGTCCGGTAAAATGAAAGTCTATGAATGGCTAGCCACCTCACCCCGGCCCTTTCAAGTTGATAATCATCTCTTCTTAGCACTCAACTAGGATTGGGATACAAAGACAGGGAACGGGTTACCTACTCTTTACGGTCAAAGCACGCCCTTTCATTCCGAATTAAAGAGTTCAGAATGAGTAATCTCCCCAAGTAGGATTCGAACCTACGGCCAGTCAGTTAACAGCCAACCGCTCTACCATTGTGATCTTTGCTTCTTTCTTCTTTCCACCCTTTCTGTTTACATAACCGTCTTTTCCTGCTTCCCTTTTATTGTTATTATATTCGCCGTCTTATTTTCTATGTTTTATTCTTATTATCCTTTTCCATCTTAGTATTAGATAAATTCTTCTACCGTCTATATTCCTTTCCCTAATTCTCTTTGGCAAGACTTTTTTCAAATATTTTCAATCATAAATCTATTTCATTGGTAAATAAGGCTTGTATGTCCTTCATCATTAAGATTTTAGTTAACTTGTTTAAAAAGCTTGGGTTTGGTCATGATAAGAAAGATAGTTAATAAGGAGGTAGTTTTATCAAGTAATGAATTTAAAGCTTCCCTTGTTGATGATATTCTCCTTTGTGGCCAGTAGCAGCATGTTTTATCATACATTGTAGAAATTGACCTGTCGAATTTGGTATTTTATACCGATGCTGGCAGTGAAGGCTGTGAAACATCTAAAATTATGGTGTTATCTGATGGGCTTAAGAACTAGTCCGAATTATATAAATTGGTATGAAGGACAATATTTTTTCTTTTGAAATGTTACAAAATTATGCAAACAAATATGAAATAAATTGTTGGAATTATCTCAGGTCAAATGATGAGCATATTATTTCATAATGTTGGACAATGTGGTGAATCATTTTGTGGTTATTATCTATGATACTGTGATTGATTTCATTAACTTGAGTCTCCTTTTACTGTTTCTATTGTCAATTGATGGTTCCACTGATTAAAAAAACTAACATAGTATGGATATGTTGAGAGTTTAGAGGCCCTATTTGGTCCTTGTGTAGATTTTGTGGGATGCGTTCCCCCCTCTTTTCTTATACAACCTTAATTGTCAAAAAAAAAACTAGAGTAGTCCACAAAATTTCTGAAGAAACAGTGCAGACTGCTCTGTTTGGCTTTTACTTGATGGGAATTATTAATATTATTTTTTACAGTGACAATGAAGGTTTCTGTTGTGTGGCTGTATTCAAAATTTGTGCATGTTGTTCTCAGAGATGGAAAAATTCAGTGATCCTTATTTTTATGATGATCATATGTTTGATTTCTTCTGGAGGACATATTTTGGATGAACATAGAACTATTAAACCCCTGATACTTATCAAAAAAAAAAAATTAAACCCCTGATTTTGTGCAGGTTGTGGAACTTCTCATCCGGAAGTTGGAAAGTGAGCCTAGTTTTCATCGCAAAGTGGACCTATTTTTTCTTGTGGATTCTATTACTCAATGCTCGCATAGTCATAAAGGTAGCTTGAGAAAGAATTTATTTGTCAATGACAATTTGGTTCTCATGATAGAGGTTGTGCTGGCTGTGGTTTTATTGTTGCCCTCTCGTCGTGATCAATGATAATCATCCCTTGTATCAATATTATACTATATACTCAACGATAGATAGAGCTTATTTGCCAAACATGATTCAGGTAGCCAGCCCAAGTAGTTGGGAAAAGGCTTTATTGAGTTGAGTTCAGTACTTTACACAACCAAAAAAATAAAAATGAAAAGAAGAAAAAGAAAATAAAAAGGGAAAAAAAGAAATAAAAACTAAAAACTTTGCCGATCCTTGTGCTATTATCATCCTGTAGAAAAGCAAATTGATTTGAATGCTTTTGCTGGTTTATTTTCTGTGATGTTTTTAGGTATTGCTGGTGCCTCGTATATCCCAACAGTGCAAGCTGCTTTACCTCGTCTTTTAGGAGCCGCTGCTCCACCTGGGGCTTCTGCTCGTGAAAATCGTCGTCAATGTCTCAAGGTAATTTTTCTCTTTTACTAGTAGGAGGTTTCTTATTTTTCTCAAGATAATTGAATTTACCTCTGGTCTTAGGTTTTGCGATTATGGCTTGAGAGGAAGATCTTACCTGAATCTCTTCTTCGGCGCTATATGGATGACATTGGAGTTACGAATGATGATACATCTGCTGGTCTTTTCCTCAGGCGTCCCTCTCGTGCTGAGCGTGCTGTAGATGATCCAATTAGAGAGATGGAAGGCATGCTTGTTGATGAGTATGGGAGGTATGAAAATTTTGCTCAACTGCTGTTCATCTTCAGTATTATTTGTCATTCTTTTCAAAGTCAGTTGCTATGATAATTGTTTAATGTGGTTGTTAGTGTTTTGGCCGTTATTACTGCTAAGCATCCACAAAAAATGCGTTACTGAGGTAATTTTTTTATTGAATCTAATGAAAATGGTGTATATATCCTACTAAAATATATAGTTTTCTCTCAAAAATTTGTCTCTGACTTGTACTATAATAGTTTAATAATAATGTGCTCTCTATTACATAAATTCTGAAAGTTATCTATTATTAAATGTTGATAGGAGGTCTTTAAATTTTATATATTTAATTTCTTTATTTCGCTACTAAAAATTTCAGAGATAAGTAGATTGAATATAATCATTTTAGTAATTTTGTTAGAAAATCACATAATAATACTTATTAACATGGAAAACTCAGCATAAAATATTTTTTGAGAAGGTTTTTAAAAAATTGTTCCCTTCTATTTATTTGGTTTTTTATTTTGTTCAGAAGTACACATTTTAGAGAATATAATTAATCTTTTAATAGTATAGAATGGTCAATAAAATTATCGATATGCATATTAATTAAAATATTTTTTTCACATTGCACTTGGTATCTAGTTAATCTTTTATCTGATATAGTTACTAGATTAGATAATATATGTGTATATTTCTTCCATTCTATAGAAAATCGTTGAGCCTGTATTCCACTCCCATGTTATGAACCTGTAGCAACTGAGGTATCTCAAGGCTAATCCCATATTACTAGACCAACAGATCCTTGGTGAATTCTGTTATCTATTCAAATTAGATAGTATACAGTATCTGATTTAATCATTACTTAAGCATGTTTCAGGATTCGTGGGGATCTTAGGAAAATTTATAGAATATTGTTGAAAATTTTAAATAATTTGAGGTGTGGATGGAAGGGAAATGGATAATTCAGGGGGCATGATTATGTAAATGAGGAATCTTGGGCTTTGGTTTTGACTTGGGAACAGGGGAATTTATTATTATTATTATTATTATTATTATTATTATTATTATTATTATTATTATTATTCTGTATTTGGGGGGAGGGGCAGAGTGATAATTTCGATAAATTATGTTGTATTGTATGGTTCTGTGCATCCGATACTTGTGTGTATATATATATAATACTAGGGCTAAAATTTCTGTTCTCATTGGAGTCGGAGTTACTGACTCATTTTATTTTTCTTGGTTGTTTCAGCAATGCTACTTTTCAGTTACCCGGCCTTTTATCTTCTCATGTATTTGAAGAAGAAGACGAAGAAGAGGAGGATGATCTTCGAATTAGTTTATGTAAAGAAGATGTTGATGGATCGCCAATAGCAGCAACCCCTGCTATAGGAGAGCCTGAAACGTGTACAGTCACTCCAAATGACAGACGCCACTGCATCTTAGAGGACGTGGATGGTGAGCTTGAAATGGAAGATGTATCTGGACATCCAAAGGATGAAAGATCTTTGTTTACAAGCGATTCTTTTGAAATTGATTCACAGCAGGAAGGTTCTGATAGGATCTTGGAAGCAGCATCAACCAATTCCACTCAATGCCCACCTTTACCTGAGGGGTCCCCCCCCTTGCCTTTTGATTCTCCTCCTACAACCCCGCCTCTGCCGCCTTCACCACCACCACCGCTACCTTCACCTCCACCTCCTCCACCATTATCCCCATCCCCACCACCACCCCCACCCCCACCCCCACCACTTCCATTGCAGCCCCATCCACTTGCTTTACCACCTTCAGGCCCTCCACCATCATTGCATCCTCAATCCTTACCACCTCAACCTTCAATGATGTCACAGCACTTACATCTCCCTCAATCACCAAAATTGCCTTATCAAGCGCCTATATTACATGAACATTGCAGCACACCTAATGTAAGTCTTCTGGCTGTGGTTTCTTTGCTTTTCTATGGTTCTAGGACCAGTTATATTATATAGTCTTTTGTTGACAATCAACTTGTCCACATGTCTGCAAATGCTTCTCAGGAGGGTCATATTGATGCTGCTGTTAGAAGTGAAACATTTCCGCAGCAACCAACTTGCATTGTGCCAGCTGGAGTCTGCAATTCAAGGGAATCTTCCGGATTCAATTTTTCCGGATCATCTGATTATGGACATAGTGACTTGTATGCAAATCCCCATGCTTCTCAGCCCAAGCAGCATACTCAACCTGGTAATGCACCTTTTGTACAAAGACCTTTCCATCCCACCCCGCCTCCTCAAACCCCATCCGGTCATTACTCGTATTCAAATCCCCCAATGCAGCAACATCCACAGCATCCTTACCCCAGACCATACTCATTGCCAAACCTTCATGACGGGCCAAGGCGATATGCTGCTGATGAACAATGGAGGGTGTCCACAAGTGAGTTTAACACCGATAATCAGCGTGCTGTGTGGATGAATGGAGGGAGAACTCCATCATGTTCTGGCCCATCCTTTCCACAGGAGGGTATGTGGTTTTTCTTCTATTATGATAGCTATATGACGTATTCACATCAACCTTGAAATTGCACAAAATCATTTTATTAGTGAACCTTGCATACCGAGGCAACTGCCCAATGTCACTAAGATCAAGGGTATTATGCAATATATTTCCGCCTACATTGGGATCTGGGAAGGAAGACTGCTGTGTGGTTTTTCTTCTATTATGATAACTATATGACGTATTAACATTAACCTTGAAATTGCACAAAATCATTTTATTAGTGAACCTTGCATACCGAGGCAACTGCCCAATGTCACTAACATAAGGGTATTATGCAATATATTTCCACCTACATTGGGATCTGGGAGGGAAGACTGCTAGTGTCATTGTAAGTCTCAGTCTCAGCAAAGATAGACACAATGGAGTACTATTCCTTCAATCCGTTATCATTGTTACTTAGCTTCACATGTTCTTGCATGTCATATTTAATTTCCCTGGTGGGACTAACTTGCAATTTTATAGGTTTCAAGCGTCATATGTCCTGGTGCTTTCTGCATCAAGCATGAGTATGTATTGGTTAGTATCAGATTGATATCCTAAATTAGTGATAGTTTCTGTTAGGATGAGAGCATAAGTGAGAGTTTAGGGATCATATTGTAATTATCGAATATATATATATATATATATATATACATACATCTCAAAGGGTAGAGAGCCCTGGATACCTTGATGCTCTTCCTCCATACTTCTCTCCCCCCCCCCCCCCCCCCCAAAACACACGCACACTTGTGTTGAGACTATATTAGTAATTTGTTTGTGGTACATGTGCAATGCGCCTGATTTCAACTCATGTGCCGTGATAGACTTCGCAATTTCAGCAAAGAGTAGAAAAAAGAGTGGGGTAGGTGAGAGCAAAGGGAGGAACATGGGAAAAATAGGAGAGGGAAGTGACTGCTCCGTCCACTCTATTTTCACTCCTTTTCTACTATGCTTTGATTTACGTATAATAGGAGAAATTTTGACATTAATAGACCAGCTGGAGAGCAGATCTTATCATGGCTTAATATATATAGTAGTATAAATTTGTTTATTGGTTGCCAACAGTCAGTGGCCTAGCGGTACCAAGCTCCTACTTCCCAAAGGGAGGTCAGGGGTTTGAGCCTCGGTGGAGGCATGTGTGTGTGAGTACCAACTAAGAAAAAAATTTGTTTATTGGTTGAGCTGAAAACACTTGTGCATGTTGACAGTTGTTTTAACAAAATTTACCGTGGCAGGTTATTTTCGGCCATCTATTGAAAGGCCGCCCACAAATAATGTTGGTTTCCAGCCCTCTGGCCCACACACGCTGCCAGCTGGTGCTCCAATTCCAGGTGATCTTGGCATGTAGAAAAGTTGCTTCATTGACTTTACCACTTGAACCCAGTTGTGGAGAAGGAATAAGTTTGTGGTTGGATTTTCCTCAGGTCACGGTGTTTCTCAGATGATGCCTAGTAGACCAGACATATCTGCCCTTAATTGTTGGAGGCCAGTTTAAGAGTCATCCTGGAGCTAAGTTATTTTTCGCCGGTGAGTTCTTTTATCCTTCTGTTACTGGAGTGAAAGTGAACATTTTAGGTTTGTGTTTTCTTTCTGGAGATCGGTTACCTTATCTTTTGTTAGTATTTGGTAATGGGACACACACTGAAATTGGTAATGGCTTGTATTCTTTTGATGAGCTGTAGTAATAAATTGCTTAAATAGGAATTCTTTCTCATCATATGTATGTGAAGGTCCTGTAGTCTAGGTTTGCCTGACCTCTATTAGTTTCTTTACTTCAACTATTACTTAATGGGTTCTCAAGGACTAACTATTTTGTGCCATTGTAGAGCACACAGTTCATGCTCGGACCATACATCTTCTTATCTTTTAAAGTGATTAATTGTTTTTCGGTAAAATTGTTGCAGTGCAGTGGGCAGTTTTTCAAGTAGGGAATTTACATTCATATTGATCTAAAGAAAGATTCAGCTTTGGTTTAAATTTAACCACCCATAAATGGAGGTGTTGAGAACTTCTGAAGACCCTTGGCAGGATTGGATATTGTAATTTCCCCAACAAATGCATCCTGCAGACATTTGCACCAAGTGTAAGCCCATGTTACTCACTCAATACGTTTGTTGTTAACTCTTGTAATTATACCAGATATATTATATAAAAGAATTTATTTCAATTTTCAATGGGTGTTACTACCAGTTTTCCTTACTTTTTTAATGCGAAATATTTGTGTATGCTCTAGATGTTGTATTACGTTTTACTTCTTTTCTACTTAGATATGTTGATAGCTCCAATTGTTCTCAGTTGATTTTGTGATAAGGACAGAACACTCTAGTTTTCTTGTTCCTTTCTGGATTTCCAACTACCTTCTACTTTACTGTATATTTATTTGGCTCTTTTCTATTATCTCCTCTGTGAAAGTGAATTTAGTGATTATTGCAGCAGTAATGTACTTGCATGTAGAGGATTGGGTTTTCAGTCTCTGGTCTTTAGTCAAGGGTTTTTCTTGGATTACTCCCCTAAAAAGGTTAAGTGATGGAATATGTTGAAAATCAAATGATTTTGCAGAGCAGTCTCTTCTCACCTAACAAGTCTTAGTTTGCAAAGCTTTTTTAATGAATATGTGTATCACTTTTTCCTTCTCATCCAATTGTTATTTATTTCACATGTCCCGGAACTGTTAATTCTTGAAGAGAAACAGAATCATGCCGTACATAAAGAGAGGGATAGTGCTGAGAGCTTCCATTTTTACTCACTGTTGATAATTCAATTCCTCTCCTCACAAAATTTTTTCCATCTCTTCCTACATTATGACGAAGCGATCACTGAAGGAGACTTTCATAGTGTCTTATGCCACTTAACCTCCCTTACAGCATTGCATCCACTTGGCAAACCTCGTATTGAATTGGGCATTACCGAAAGTTCCCTTTTGTACAATTTTTCTAGATTGCCAAAGAGAGAACTTTGTATTATGATCTAGAATATGTGGAATAGAGGAGGAAAAATTAGGGATTTAACATGTAATCAGGTTTTAAAGCTAAATTGTGTGCCATCATTTTTTTTTTTTTTTTTTAAGGTTAATATGCTGTAGTTTTGGTTTTATATATTGTTTTATTAGGAGGTGCTAGGAGTCGGAGGGAATTTTAGTAAATTAATTATTTGTTGGACACGGGCTGTAGTAGTTGACATGTCTCATTTTGGATTAATTTATGTTATAGGATCTTTATGCATGGTATTTAGTTGCTCCAGAATTTTTTGGAGGTTAAGTTTAGGTTTCTTATTTTGCTGTCCCATTTGAAGTAGAATTTTAGCAGCCTATAAATATACCGATGGACGAGACGCTCGTGTAAGGACTTCAATCTTATTAGGTTGAACTAAGGAACCGCAGAACTCTGAGGCTACCCCATTCCACTGGGCAACACAATAGTGTCTAAAGGTTGGAGTTTAGAGTCCTTATAGTAGCACAAATTTATCTTCTATTGATGGAATTGAGCTTTGAGATGTGAGACAACATGATTTATGATGCAGCCTGTCCTTAGGGGGTGAGTCCTAAGTAATTTGGGTGTGTACCCATTCTTTGGAATTCGATTTTGTTGTTTTAATTATAACCAGCATGTTTTTCTTTGTTTTCATCTCAGAACCCTAGTTCCATAATCCTAACCCTTTTTCTACCGATTGATCCTTTGATTTAAGAATCTGAACCCCAAGTTTACTTGATGTTCAGATATTCATTGACTAATTTTTGCAACTCTAGCAATCAATCACCTTGAAACCAAGCCAATTTGGGACTCCTTTCATGTTAAACTAATACTTTTTTTCCAATTTTTAAACCCTAAACATGGAGGCTTTTGATGGATTTACTGCACCATAAATCCATTTGTATGCTGCAGTAGTGTTGTCCAGCATTAGTGTGGTACCTGAGTTAGAGGGTCTCGATACAACATTCTTTCAGGGTTTTCGTACCTGTCAATCAGTTGGTAAAATTCATCTTCTGTTAAATTGCTAAAATTCATCTTTTGCATAATACCATGAGGACAACAAGAAGACTTGGCTACATTAAACAAAAAAAAAAAAAAAAATCCATGAATGATATTTTAGATTCTACAGGAATATCTGCGACTTTGCTAATGGCTACTTTAGACTTTGGAGAATGTTGCAGTAAGTATTCTTTGTGAGGATTTAATTTAGATTCTGGCTGATGATACAACACAACTTTTAGAATCCTCCAACTTTGATCTACTTCAGTTTCAATGCCATTAAGCTTGAGGAAGTTAAAGAAAAGGTAAGAATATATCTGAACGCTTTGTTCCTAATTTAAGGATGTTTATTTTTTAATGACAAGGTACCTAAAAAGTTATTTTTATGGTTCCAGATATTGAACAATAGAGCAAAAGGGATGGCTCTAGTATCATCTTTATTGCTTCAAAGGGGAAAAAAAATCATTGTGAAGTTTCAACACTTAATTTGTGATATTCTTGACTGTTTTCAAAAGGTCTAGTAATGTATAAGTCTGAAGTTCGTGGATTCCTAAAACTACAAAATTCAAGAATAGGTTTCCCCATGCGATTGGGGAGAATGATGTAGTGCTTGATATATTCAAATTTAGACTCGAATTGTGACTTATTTTATATTTATTTTAAGTTGATATTCTTGCTGTATAGTACAATTCATGCTATTTGGTTAAAGAACAAGGGTTTTCCGGCAATTCTAATTTATGTTGGATGTGGGCTTCAGTAGTTGTTTAAAGGGTCTTGTTTCGAGTCCTGCTAATGTGTCTTTATATGTGGGATTAGTATACGTGTAAAGTGTTCTTGGTAATTTTTTTCCTTTTTGATAAGTAAAGTTTTCTTGGTAAGTAGAATTCCAAGGTTCCTTATAGACGTAGAAGTTAGACAGTAGGAAATAAATCATGGTTCTTTTTATACAGTAGAATTGAATCTTAGGGAGTTGAGTTTGCAATTTTGAAAGGCTGCAGCCTAATACGAGGAGGTGAGTCCTAAGGAATTGTAGGTGTAGAAGAATATTTTTTTTAAAAAAAAATCTTTAATTTATTTTTTCATCTTCTAACCTCCCTCTCTTTAACTCTTTTTCGATTTTTGTTATTTAAATCCATCTCCTACCTATTTTCTTTAGCTCTTTGCCCTAAAAGCCTAGCTCCTAGCTTCGAGTTTAATTTTGGTTTCTATAATTATACTCCAGTAAATCATCAGTTTCTGTTCAGAAAGTAACTACTAATTATCTTCTACTCTTGCAATCAGTCACTTTGAATGCGAAGTTAATTTGAAAACCTTTTCGTCCATAAATACCACACCATTTTTTCCATCCTTTTAAGCATAACCTGTTTAAGCTTCCATAGGACATTATCCCGCATAAATCTAATTTGAGGCTGTGATATTCTATGTTTGCATTGTTGTCCTACATTAGATTAACATATAAGTGACGGTAGCACATTATTGGATTGTTACCAAAGTAGGAAATAATATTTAAAGTATAAGTTTTCCATAATGTCAAAGGCCCATAATATTTTATTTTAACCCATGGCAGTCAAATATATTGCTACAGCTTGAAATTTTTTGATAGGTTTAATCTTTTAGGTGTCCGCGGAAGGGAGGGTTTCAAATGATGCCCTCAATGAATGATGCTGTAGCAGTTTACATTGGCAAAGCCTTGAGGTGCCAATGCAGGAAAAGTGCTATTGGAGCTTCTGTATCGATAGGAGGTTGACAGTGAAGGTTCGGATTCTCTTGCTTTGGTGCCTTCTCCTCAGGGGAGGTTTGATGTGTGTTCCTTGTTTAGATGTCAATCGGATTTTTCCTGCCTGCCTTCCTGTGGAAGGCAGTGTGGTGTTCCAAGGCTCCACTCAAGGTGGCCTTCTTCGCTTTGTCAGTTGGGGCAAGATTTTGACGCTTGATAACCTGAGGAGGAGAAGACGTATCACTGTTAATTGGTGTTGCATATGCAAGAGCAATGGAGAGTCAGTTGATGATCTCATCTTGCATTGCCCAGTGGCTCATGATGGTTGGAGCCTCCTGAGGAGGAGAAGACGGATCACTGTTAATTAGTGTTGCATATGCAAGAGCAATGGGGAGAGTCAGTTGATCATCTCCTCTTGCATTGCCCAGTGGCTCATGATTGTTGGAGCCTTTTGTTTGGTCTCTTTGGAGTTCAATGGGTCATGCCCGGATCAGCAAGAGGCTTGATTGATGTTTGGAGAGAGTGCTTTGTGGGATCCCAAATCCGTGATCTTTGGAGGGTGGCGTCCTTATTACTTTGGTGGTGTTTATTGAGGGCGGGATAGAAGATGCTTTGATGGAGAGGAATCTTCGATTGGGGTTTTAAAATCTTTTATCAGATCTCTTTTTGTTGAGTTATGGGAAGATATTGTACATCAGTTGGTTTTTTGGGTTATATTGGGTCCTTAGGGTCCCTTGTGGCCTTTGTGTAGTTTCTTTGGACATGTTCTCCTTTTGAACACTTTCTAATACATTATTAATTATCAAAAAATTTGCATGTTTTTTTTTTGACATGTCAGAACTAGGTGTGGAGGATTGCATCTAGTATAGTGTGTGATGGGCGTATCCCTTTACGATTGAAAGGGGAGTTCTATCGAATTGCTATTAGACCAGCCATACTTTATGGTACCTAATGTTGAGCAGCTAGAAAACAACATTTGCATAAAGTGAGTGTGGCAGAAATGCGAATGTTGAGATGGATGTGCGGTTAGACTAGAAAAGATAAAATTAGAAATGATCACATTCGGGGAGATGGTTGGAGTAATACCAACTGGAGATAAAATGAGAGAAAATCTGTTAAAATGGTTTGGACATGTGCAAAGAAGACATTTAAGTGTGCCAAAATAACATATTCCACATCGAGGGTAATATTAGGGGAAGAGGAAGACCAAAGTTAATATGGGTAGAGTTAGTAAAGAAAGATATGATAGTGTATGGATTGATTGAGGCTATGGCTTTAAATAGAGCAGAATGGAAACATAGGATTCTGTTGGGGTAGAGGAAGCGCGCGAACAACGAGATCCAATGAAAGACAATAGAATAAATACACAAACTCAAGATATAACGTGGTTCAACCAAAACTGGTTTACATCTACGGATGAGAAGATATTCCACTATGATTTTCGTGGAGATACTACAACAGAATAGTACCAACACTGTGTACATGGCTTTTCACCGTGTACCACTCTACGAGCCTATCTCCTAGCTACTAGTGCCACCGGTGTTTTACCTACTCTAGCAACCCTTAAATTACATCTACTCATCAACTCCCTTATGAGACTACATCTCTCTCAATCTCATAAGTTTCAACCCATAACCTAGGTATCTATTTATAGAGTTCCAAACCCAATTCCTTGTTTGGCAAGGATTATAATTCCTTGGAGCACATGACTTGTCAAATAAGAAATTACCTAATAAAATACAACTCTAAAATGGAAACTTAATTAAACTTCAAATTTCAGACACAAGTCCCAACAGATTCGTACAGCAGACCCCAAGTAATTAAGAAAAGGCTTGGTGGTGGGTGTTTTTGTATGAATTAATTGTACTATGTGCGTGTGTATTAATGATGTAAGGTGCTTTTTGACAACTTAATTAAGCACTTAATTTTGAGTGGATCAAGTGCTTGTTTTATTAAATGTACTTAATTAAGCACTTATTTGATGACGTAATTTGACAAGTCTAAAGAGCTTGCCATTGTCATTGGAGCATTGATATGTTGCAGCAAGGATTACTATAAAAATGGGCTTTACTTATTTCCACCAGATTTCACTTTCTAAAGAGTGTCAAGGGCCCAGATTAAAATTCTCCATGGACTCTGGATACGCCACATGTTAAAAAAATATATAATTTTTTCCCTCTTCTAAAACATTGTTATTTGGCCCATAGATAAAGTGTTTGGAATTTTTTTTGTGGGGTCCTCTTTACTTCTGCCCGTCAGCAACTTCCTCCCTTACTTTCCAAAGTCATGGGACATTTATTTTGTTTCATTGCACTGTTGAAGTGCTTAACTACCAATTTTATAAATCTACGTTTCAAAAATATTGAATCTAGTTTGATCCCACAATAAATCCCAGGATGGTAAACTGTTGAGAAATCCCTGTAGGATTGCTGGAGTCACGGTCTCCCGATTCGTATACCGATTCTGGCAATCCTAATTTACTGCCTCATAAATTCATAATGTTATTCTTTTATTGATTTTTGATAAAACTAGTGTCTAAGAGTAAAAAATGACTGTGAAATGGAGATAAAAACCCACTTTTTGACTGTATAACTCCTCCCTTCTAGTCTACTTTAAATTAGACCGCTGTTCTAGCATTTAATTTAGGCATTTGATTCCTTACTTTTGACTATATAGGTTTGATGTTTAATTTACGTTTTCAACTTCTCTCTTGGTTGTTTGTTTTGCCATGCTATGTAACAGAGAATATGACAAAATTTTGCGTTAAAACACCACTGGCTTCAGTTCCCCTCCTCCTTTGAAAAAAAACTTATCTTTAAACTCCTCAATCTCTTATTCACACAAATCTTGATGCTTACTTTAGTTTTCCCCTATTTTCTTTGGAGAGCTTATCGAAACTACTTTCCGGACATATAATGATCAGCTTATCGAAACTACTTTCCGGACATATAATGATCATCAATTGATTTCAAGTATAAAATGTTTTATGATTCCAGAAAGGCAAAAATGTTCTAATTTTGACTGCAGTAACTCCCCATGTGTTCTTGTTGGTGGAATATTCATTTTTAGTCATTTATAATTAATGCTTTGTTTCATATTGGATTATGTGCTTAGTTTCCTATATGTATTATGCTAGGGAGCTGTATACTCTCTTTTAATTGCAGCCTCGGATGTATGTTTCCTTCTCTCACACTCTCTACACGAGCACTAGGCATAAGCTGATTAAGACTTGGCTTGTCCTAATATGTGTGATCCAAGTTGATTAAGACCACTGATTCCATTTCATCTTGCAATCTCCATGCCATCCTTATGTAGTCGTCCATCAAAGTTGTCAAGGCTGTTGTAGTCAAGTGATGACTCAGGCTGACCCATTCCAAACCAACATGACTCAACCAATTACTACACGCGTTTCGATCACGAAACTGCCAACACTGCGAACAGAATGATTCTATCCTAACATTTTTTATCTGGTGACATGAGAGGGTTGTCCAGTGAACTTGGTCGGTGGAATTTTAGTAGTCACTTTAGTAGTCAAAATATTTGTTTCCTTGGACAATTAATATTTTTTAACTACTCAATTAAACCTTGTTGGTACACACAAATAAATTAGCTATTAGATGACTAGGTATTATACAAAGAAATAGTAATTAATGTAAGGCTCAATACATCCCAACAAGTAAATACTTAATGTCCCAAGCGTAACGACAAAGAAGCATTAGATGACTTTCTTTTCTAGCATACACTTTGGACAAATAACACTACTTGGTGATGTTTCCTAATACTCACAAAACCAATGGTTCATTATCTTTCATTTATTACCTAATGCATGCAGTTTGCTGGAAAAGACCTTTACTTCACTGTTAGGGCCTTAGGGTTGTCATAAATAGATCACATCCATAATGCACAATTAGGGCTTCTTTCTTCTGTCTTCACATTCACCAATTTTCTTCAAATATTTATTGGGTTGTTTTCTTAAAATCTTTCTGCTTCAGATGATAAAATTTCTTTTTCAGACTAGGATTTTTGTGCTGCTTCCAAATGTTATATATGGTGAAATGAGAAAAGCATTGGGGCATGCAATAATTGGGAAAAGCTTCATGAAAATTGGGTACTCCTTTTAGATGGACTGCGTAAGTAGACGATGAAGTCTGTGAATTGTCATTTCATTCATTGCAGGTTGATTTATATGGACATTCATATAGTGCAAGTGAGATTTGCTGTGTTTTGCCTCAATCCTTTTGATCTGGTTTTGAGTTGAAGTCCAAATGTAGAGGAATTCGTAGTGTTTGAAGTTGTGTTTCTTGTGTCTTTTAGTGCATTTGGAGAAATGAAATAATTGGGCAAGAAATTATGTAGAACTTTTGCTTGTAAGACTGAAGCATATTTATGGCAAGGAAGTACTTCCTTTTGGAAGACGTTGGAGATATTTAATTTTGTTGCTGTTATATCTAGGTTATACAAGTTAAATTGCAATTGTGCTTTTTCTTCTTGTACAGACTTTGTGGGCATTACCTTCTCCTTTCAGTGAAACTCTAATCATAGAAAATGGAAAATAGCAGGAAAAAATACATAACACTTTTAAAGCTTTCTTATTGACACAGTGCTAGAAGTTGCTATTCAGACTTCACCCTGAAAAAGATGCCTGGCATCCTAATCTCACATCGGATCCAAGCTTTTGTCAAAGTTCAGTGTGCCCTTTTTATGATGCATTGTAGCATGGTACACCACACTATTCATGTCTTGTGTGCTCCCAATTAGTTGATTTGTTCGTACTGTATACACTTTAGCCATGGAATCATAAGAAATGTCTTTTTTTTTTTGGTCTCATTTATTTATATATATTTTTGGAATGATTCTTGTTTAGTTTCCTGAGCAATATTTTGAATGGCATTTGTTTATCCTACACCTTTCTGGTTTGCTCACGTGCTCACTATTTAAAGTCTTTTACATCCACAACGCACCTCTTTTTACATTGGATATTGACTTACAAGATAATTTTAATTACATATAATTGGAAAACTGTGTTGGCTTTTGATTGCAATTTATCAATGTTTGTTGAAGGTTGTGATTCTTCTTTTTCTTCTGGCGGGGTGATTTGGTTATTCATATTTCTGATATGATGTTCAAGTCCCCTCACTTTCTACAACCTGAACGGAAACTGTGAAGTTGCAGAGGAAGACTTAAGTTAGCCTAGTAATGGAGTATCACTTCTAGTGTCTGGCTACTTTAGCTAGTTATAGATATTTATGATGTCTATTTTCTTACACTTTGTCATAAAATGATATAAATTTGGGAACGCTATGGATGAGCACCCGATAGAATTTTAGGTTTTGGGGAATTTGGCAGATTTCTTCACTCAGGCCTTGTTGTCACCACCTTGTCATTGTCATCGTCATCAGATTTTGGCAAAAGTTTCTCTGGTTCTGTGGATCACCTGTCCTTTAGAATGATTGTCTTCAAAGCATTCATTACCTATATGGAGATGGATTTCGAAATGGACTTAAATTGCTTTCTTCTTGACCTCAAGCATCCGCTGTTATAGGCCAGGCTACATAAGGTAACAGAGCCTAAACAAGATTTAAATGTAGCCTCAGCAGAGTTAACTTTTTTGTGATGGACATGCATGCTTGATCCTTAATATATATATATATATATATATATATATATATATATATTTGATTGGCAGTCACAAGTTTTTCAACACTTACACTGCGTAATTCTGCAATTGCTTTTAGTGGAAAAAGGGGCTTCTAATACAATTTTCAATATGTTATGGGTTAACGAGCGTTGTTGAGCTCGAGTGAGGTTGATTTGTGCCGAGTTCAGATTGGGATTCCTAAATGTTGGTTGACTCAACTCGCTTGAGTTGTAGAAAGTGGGTTATTTTTTACCAATCGAATTCAAATGGTCAAAATGTAATTCCAAACCCAGAGAGATTGATGTTTTTGTCAAAATGTCGGGACAGTCCGGATTTTATTTTCATGTCACAAGGATAGAGAACAAAGGGAAAATAATATTCTCATTGGTCGTGATTATTTTTTTTGACTTTTATCATATTTTGTTATATTATTTTAATTTCTACTTTACCATCTCTCATTCTTCGGAAACGTCGTTTAAATTATTTCGGTGGATTTTTTTCTCAGTTGAAATCCCATAGAAAAAATTGTAGGAATTTTAATACGATGAACCTTTTTTGCAATCAATATGATCGATTGATTGATTGATAAACTGAGTGTGTAATTGGGGTCATGATAATTAGTTGGTGGTAGTGACATTAAATTAGGTGGGTTTAGGTTGGGTTTGATATAACATAATGAAACCCTTGTCTGTATAAACTTTACCCATTTATAAATAAATAAATAAATAAAGGGGGTTGCAACACGTAAAGCTTTCACCTGGCTCTCATGTAAAATTTCATGCCGTATTTCACCCGTTTGTTTGAATTATTTTCTAACTTGTTAAATTTGTATTTATGCCAATTACTTTTGATGGTAAATAAGAGTATTCCATACAATAACATTGTCAGAGTCAGAAAATTTTTAAACGAATAAATACTTTAATGAAATATTATATATTAGATTATCTAGTTTGTTGGTAGAGTAAAAGCTCAGCTGAAGCTTGACCATCAAATCAAGGAAAAATTTGCCTGCCCAGTTTGGACTTAATTGCCAAACTAGCAACATCCAACTACTACAAAACCCAATCAATTTTTAAATAAATCACTGATATTCAACGTGCACAATTTCACATTTATTTAAATATAACAAAAATAAAATGAATCTATCAACAGCATTAAATAAATAGGTTTATAGACAAACATTTTTTCCACCATTCTTAGAACAAATACATTCTCAGTTAGGTTATGCAAATGCCCGAAATAACAAACATCTGTAACAAATAAATGTATGGCGAATCACATAGCAGCTTTTGATCCTCTAATTCTAGCTTGGAACTGCCACTCTATATGGAATGTCTATCAGAGAGAAGGAAATGTTCCAGCATCCAAATGATCAATGATTTTCATTACCTAACTTTTAAATCTTTTTCTTTTTCCCTCTCAATTTCCCTCTAATAATCAGAATATGAAACAAAATCTGTAAATAAATTGGATCTACTGACCATAATTTTACTTTACTTAATCAAGTGCAGCTTTATTTCTTCGACCTGTTATTGGCTTCGGCAAGCCATCAAAGATTGGCCTTGCAATGGCGGTCTGAATTTCTGGCTTCAAACACCATTTTTGTGTTTGCCAGACGGAAGAGGTTGTGTTACTGTCCTGGTCCTGCAAACTGGGTGTACTTGACGACTTCCTTACCACAACGAAGCTGTCAGCCAAAAGAGAATCGCCTAAACCGACAGGAATAGGGTTCAACCAACCGGCTTCAGCATCAACTCCCGAAGAAGTTCGACTAGCAGATTTGGGTCTCAGGGCTAAGCCCTTTCCTGTTATAGCTGAAAATCCGCCACCATTGCTGTTATCTTCCTTCAGCAGCATTTCCGGGGTGCGGGAAGCAAAGTCTGCTTCAGATTTCTGACGCCTTCTCACCAACTTCTCATTCCATCTATCAGAGTCACCGTCTCTAGTTTCTGCAACTGACATGCCATTAGCCAGTTCGCCATTCTCTGACAAGAAACCATTAGATACGCTTTTAGATTTTCCATGATGACCCAGGGGTGGGTGAGAAGAAGGAAAAGGTTTAGCTAACAGTTCATCCTCTAAATACTGAGAACCTCCTTTCCAATAAACAGCCATTTCACAGCCTTCAGATGCAGCTTTTTTATCTGTTGCTTTAAGACCATAATACCCTTGTAAAGTGCTCATGGCCGGAGAGACCTTCCGTTGAGGAGAAGAATCCACTTTCAGTGACTCGAGTGATTCAAACAAATCAGAGTGCCTACGGCGAGGTGGGGTCTGCTCAGAGCTGCTTGGTCTGCAAAAAGATTCATCATCACCTTGAGCCACTTGTAAAATCATGCAAATAGACACCCAGAATAAGAGACTCCAGGTAGGCTATCAGAAAAGGTACATGAAAATACTCGACTAACATTATTAAGTCAGCTTCTTTTCCTACCATACAAATATATCTAGAAAAGATAAAAATAACACTTCAAAACTTTTAATTTAATCATTACATAAATCAATTATCTAGACAGTGCATCATGACAAGAAGGTACAACAGTATTTGACAGCACATGCAGGTAGTATCAATGAACCATATAAATGCATAATGATATGTAAAAGATAGTTATCCACAGCTGCACTACCTATTAATATTGAGATTTTCAAGCAATATCCACTCGGGGAAACTGAGTGAGTGGTTTCCTACAAAAGAGTAAAGTGGTCTAGAACATGGGGAGAACACCTGTGTAATTTATGTAGCCTGATAGACACAATCTGATAGCTACAAGCCTACAAGTACTGACAGGCCCAATTGAGACTCAGTATCAAGGATGAATATCGCAAAATCTGATATTTTTACAGATTTCTGCAATTTCTAGCAAAAGGCTAAAATTCCACAGGCTATGGACTCAACAATCAAAGCCCTAATGATATGAAAGAGAATAGTCTCTCATTTGAATCTCAACTTTATTTCTCCAAGAACTCCATTAAAGACACCATCAAGGATGAAAATCGCAAAATTTGATATTTTAACATATTTCTGCAATTTCTAGCAAAAAGGCTAAAATTCCACAGGCTGACTCAACAATCAAACCCTAATGATATGAAAGAGAATAGTCTCTCATTTGAATCTCAATTTTATTTCTCCAAGAACTCCATTAAAGAGACCATTAAGAACTCAACTTTATTTCTCAACTTCAAAGAATTCTTAATGGCATGGTTACAAGACCTGTTCACATGGTACTCAACCATCTATCGAACCAAAATGATATTGTTGTCTTGAGTAACAAAACTTACATACCAGGCTGCCTCAGAATTGGTACATTTGACATGGGACGCGTGGGACTTGAACTAAGGAGCAATGATAAATGGAATTAATAATAAGGGAGTAGAGAACATATTTAAAATAGATAATAGTATTTAAAAGCTAAAAGTACTTACTTATAAGTTAACAAAATGCTAACTAAAGAAGAATGGCAAATGAATGGGGAAAAAGCAGTATGGTACCACTTTTACAAAATAAAGGATGATATACAAAATTTTGAAAATTATAGCGGAATTAAATTAATGATTCATACCATGAAACTATGGATAAGGATAATCAAACAGAGATTAAAAATAGAAACTTTCAATATATTATAATCAGTTTGGATTTATGCCAGGTAGATCCACTATGGAGACCATATATAGTAGAAGAATGTAGAAGTAAACAAAAGGACTGGCACATACTTTTCATAAACTTAGAAAAGACATATGATGGAGTGCTAAAGTACGTAATTGGTGGCCTTTACAAAAGTACAGAAAAAAAAGTGCTTAAAAAAAATTTAAAATTTTATTCGGGATATGTATAGTTAGACAAGAACTGAAGTTTTTATGATGTGCAGAGAAACTAGTGATTTTCCTATAAAAGTAAGATTACACCAAGGATCAGTGTTAAGCCCACATCTATTCATAACAGTCTTAATTGAAATAATGAATGACATCAAAGAAGACAGCCCATGAAGCATGTTGAAATTAGAAACATGGAGAATTGGTTTAGAAGCAAAAGCATAAAAATTAGTAAAAGTAAAACAGAATACTTGGAATGCAAATTTAATCAAGTAACAGAAGAAAATAATATAACTATTACAGTTCAAAGCCAAAGGATTACTTGAAATAATCATTTTTGCCATTTACGATCAGTAATAATACAAAAGATGGAGAAATAGATAGTAAGCATACAGTAAGATGGAACAGATTGGACAAAGTGGAAACAAGCGAGATGTATCCTTTTTTTAAAGAAATTAAAAGAAAAAATTTACAGGGCAGCTATTAAGTCAACTATATTATATAAAGCAGAATTTTAGGCGTTAATGAGTTCATGTAGCTGAAATGAGAATGCTAAGATGGATGATAAGTGTTACTAGAAGAAATAGGAAATAATCAACGTAGAAGGAAAACTACAACTAGCTCCCATTTGTGATAACATAAGATAAAGTAGACTTAGGTGGTATTATTATATACAATGTAAACCCATAGATGCTCCAACAAGAAAGGAAGATTCATTTGCATAGAAGGTAAAAGACAAAGAGGCCGACCAAATCTCAAACGAGATGAAATAATTAGAAATTATTAGAAAAGCTATATATAATATGAGACATGGCTTGTAAAAGAAAAGAATGGAAAAAGTAATTTCATGCGGCTAGCAAAGATGATGATGGTGATGTCTTGATCACCTCCGAATCCAATCAGACAATTAACAGATGCTAATAGATATTTCTGAAGTTACTTTCTCAACGTAGTAAGGTTCATCTCTTATACTTAAATGGTCCCAGCATGCAATCTCCACTGTGTACCAACAGGCCTCATAACCGGTGCCAAATAAGAAATGGTTCCGTATTGATCCTGTTTCTGAGTTTGGATATGAAACTGGCATAAATATGTTCTCTAAATGGCAACAAAACCCCTTCAGCTAGGCAGAATCACCATCACCCTTCCCCCCACAACCGCTGTGTTCACAACACCTTGTTATTATAATCACTTCCATCTGATATGACAACCATAACCCCAAAACACCACAAACACCATCCTAGCTCCAACTTAACAGCACAGTTACCACTCCATCTTCACAAAAGTTGCTGCCACTCCCTTTCAACAATCACCACTCTGCCAAGAAAACCACTTTCAATTGCATCACACTAATAGCACTAGGATTATCTAATTTCTGCCACTGCTAGTTTCACATATTCCACCTCCAAATCACTACCAAAAGTCAAATATAGGTTCAGCAACAAATCACCAAAAGGGAGTTAGTTTCCTCCTAATATCCAATAAAATCACAAAATAAAATTCATTGAATTACAGTCTGACGGTTACCCTGAACTCATAAGACCAAAATTGGAGCTGAAATTCTCTGCATGCTCTGTTGTGTTACTCATGCCATCCTAATCCCAAAAATTTCAAAATTTTGGGGTCCATGTTCTGTTTCTAAGTAAGGAAACCCATACAACAAACTTCAATTATGCAATCCATCCATCCCCAGTAACCTTTTTCAATAGTGATATAGGACTACACTACTCTAAGATGAATGCATTTATTGACATTTAACAATTTTTTCCAGCTAGAATTTATACAGTCACTCACAGTTTGATATATCAGCCTCTAAGATATCTTTTACCTATTTTTTATACTTTCAAAAGTAAGGGCTGTGCTTTACCAGCCTATTAGAATTACGATTTTTTTTTATGCCGGACTTTTGCATGGTTTCAAAAGTAAGGGCTGTGCTTTACCAACATATTAGAATTACCACTTTTCCTTATACCACTTGTGCACATTTTCACATTAGGTTCAAAACAAATCTACCATAGTTGTCCTGTTAATTTCAAATGCGTCCTTACCACATCATATCATAAAGGCAGTGGGTACAATTCATCCATTACTAATCTAGAGAGGAAAAAGATATGCGTATTTGCATTCTACCAATGTACCTAATCTTAATTCCAACACTACAACATTACACACTAACGATGGGCAAAGTGGATCACTAAGTTATCACATCAACTATATATAAGAACCTTATCAATCAATTAATTTGAATGAAGCAGAAATCAGTTAACACAAGGACTATATAAAGTAGAAAATGATATCAGTCAAGGAGGCAGAAACGTGACACAACTTAACTTAGGAGTCTTTCAGAAATTCATGCTGGTTACAAATTTATTCCTAATACTATACTTATAAAAAGATTCCTCATTACATAACTTTAATTCCTAAGATTACCGCAACTATTCTCAATAATTAAAACACAACGAAAACTTGATAGCTAGTTTTAGACAGTCTGAAAAGCTACAGTCTACTTAAAGTCAATAATAGAACTCCTTATTTAATATGGAGTTTTTCTTTTTAGATGGGACTATCTATTCACAGTTGCATAGCCATCCTGTCATTTCTTTGCACCCCAAACCGTGGCTTTTTCGGCCTTCTCTTCTTAACAAAACACTTCTTTCTTACCACCACAGGTTGTAGCATCCCCGCCTTCTAAAATAAAAGGTCGAAGGTTCAAGTCCCGTAGGGAAAAAAGTGTTTGTTTCAGTTTCAAATAGGAAAAAAAAAATACACTTCCTTCTTTTAAATTCGGAAAAATTGTTAAACTTTTAAACAAGATGTTTTATCTCAAGCCTATTTTATCGTCCCCAAATGATGCTAGCAATAGTCTTTGACATGTATATCTCACAAATGATCAAGTCAATACAATAAATTTGATGCTGAGCCACAGGATTGTGACAGTATATTTGAGCTTATAATGTGGGTAAATAAAAAAAGGTCGAGTAAGATAATTGCCGACAATAGTAAGCTAGATGTACATAAATAATAATATAAAAATTAAATTAAATTAAATTAACAACAACGACAACAACCAAGACAGTTGATTAACCAAAAATCATGGATGTGCATTGCATGAGAACATGAATGTAGTTTAGATGAGACCCATGAGTTCCTAAGAAAGTGGAATGTTTATTATGAATTGCATAATAACATGACTAATGAAACATAACAAAATAATAAATACCCTATATTATCTAAACCATTTGACAAACTGGGAGATGGAGGGTGCCTCCCTGGCAGCGGTATGTGCAGCGTCTTGAGTGCAAACATTTGGAGATCTGTCACCAGACCATTTATCCTTTTGATGTCAGCCACCTAACATGTAAAAAATAATAATAATAATAATAATAATCAGCCAGCTTACAATCAGACTTTCAAGGGGAATCAAACAAAAGAACATCGCCTGGTAAGTCAAATATATCAAGACCCAATACTCAGAAACAGAAATATAAAGCTATATCATTATCAGAAACATTGGACAATGTTTGTGTACAATGAAAGGTCCCTTCAACTACAGACTCCAACTTTTCAGTCATACTGAGGCAGCCATCCACCACATCCAGTAATCTGGACACTAGAAAAAGTTACACATAACATAAATTGAGATAGAGATGAAGTGAGGGTACACCCAATTCATTCTATCCCAATTGATTATAGGGAATCTCAATGCATTCTGATATTCCACTTCCCCTGACAAGGAGAAAATAATCTTAATCCTAATAGTTGTGCAAGTAAAAAAAAATTGTTTCCTCATGTCCCAAATAATGAAAATTCACATTTCAATCCTTCCCTAAGTTTTGTTTTTTCTTTTATAAGACCCTTCCCTAAGATTTCTCAGCAACCAAACATACAAGAGTCCGAAATTCCCATTTAAAAGCACTGTCTACCAGTATGAACTGACATAATGCATATTTGTACTTACTGCATAACACAATACTTAGAAGAACTCATTGTTATGATTATATACAAAAATATAAATTATATGGCAATAACCCTTTTCTCTTTTTCTTTTTTTTACCTGAACAACCAATATCGCCATATTCATGAAACAAAAATAAATAAATAAATAAAAGTGAAAAACAAACCAGAGAAAAGCATATAAAGGAAAGGTATTGAGTTGATGATCAATTTATTTACCTCGACGCCGTACTTGATTGCAACGCCAGCGAGCGTATCCATCTTAGATACAGGATGCTCAATATAACTGACACCGCCGACACCAATACTACCACCGGCGGGCGAGCATGAAGAGGCAGAAGGAGGCAATGAAGGAGGAGAGGAAGACACCGAAGAAACCGGAAGCATCGGTTCCATCTGATCTTCCTCATAATAATCTCTTACTCCTAATCCTCCATTGCATCGTCTCTCTCTTTCCATCTGCATCCCCAATACGATCTATACATCGATCTACGGACTCATATATGATATGTATGTATGTATTACGAGATCTGAGAGAACAAATTGATGAATCGGATGATCGAATTTGGAAGTAGGGGAAAGCCCTAGCCTAGATCTGGAAGGTGTCGTTGAACTCGTGTCTTCTCTCTCTGGATCGCCCTGTTCTTCCGGGAAAGGGATGTGTCATATGCGTGTAAAATATATATGTATGTATGTGTGTGTTTTGTAACTTTGTATTGTGTGTGTAAAGGAATGGACTGGAAACGAGTGAACCTAAGGAAGGTGGTTTTCAGCGTTGAATGTTCAATTTTTCCAAAGGGCTTCAATTAAAATGGGAATTTATTGATGAGTTGGGAGTTGTGATACTTTTTTTGTACAAATTGGCGTTGGGGACTAAATTCGTTAACAGTTCTATAAAAGTTAAAATTTGATGGGAGAATTAAAATTATTGAAAGGGCTAAAATCATTAAAAAAACAAAATTCTGAAACTAACAAAACTTTATCAAGTTATTTCGAACTTGTGATTGATGTATAGAATATCTAATTTAATCTTGTTATTTAATATTAAATTAATAATTATAATTATTATTTTAAAATTACAAAAATATTTCAAAGTGTTCATTAAAATATTAATTTAAAGCTGTTAAATCAATTTTTGACTTTCAAAGTGCTTGGGAGATGTGAGTATTTTTGTAACTTTAAAATAATAATTATAGTTTATAATTTAACATTTAATAGTAAGGTTAAATTTGATATTTTACTATTCATTTAATGGTTAAGTTTGCCAGTTTGGGAGTAATTTGATAAGTTTTGTTTGTTTAGAGGATTTTATACTTTTAATTCTTGACTTAGAACGAGTTGATTTCGAATGGTTTTAATTTTTTTAAAAAAATTAAAAATAATAAAAAATAAATAAAATAAAATTGCATGTAGTTCTTGCATATTTAGATTGATTTATTATTATTATTATTTTCGAATTGAAATTCACACATTTACTATTTTCCCATTAGAAATTTGAATTTCCACATTTCACAACGAGTTAAGAGTATGTAATATGAGGCATTGCCCTAAATGAGTCCAAGGCAAACATACTTTTAAGAGATATATACTCATGGGTCACATGTGCCATCCAAAAACTCACTTAAATGAGAGTGATGCCTACAATTATGAAATTAGGTTAATTTTTACAACTCTTTCGAGAAGCATGGGTGTTTAACGTATATTTTTGTTGGTTTGGTGAAAAATAAATAAATAAATTAATTAATTAATAGCGCTAACCATCAACTGAAATTGATGTCAATATTACGAATGTGTGATGTACTAAACTAATTTAGGTTCAAGGTATAGTTCCCTCAAATTTGTTCACAACTCAATAGTTTTGAAACGGAAATTTGTCACACTTAACTAAAATGTCTAACAAGATGTCTTGTGAATTTCGAGTTTAAAAGTAGTTCCTCCATTCCCTAAATTTGGCAAGTCTCTCGAGGTAGCAGAAGTCATGGAAACTGCCAGATTCCATCTCTCTTGTTGGCATCTTTTATTTTAGGTTTTGTTTTGTTGTTGGAGTGTTTTTTTTTTTTTTGGGGAAGTTTTGTTGTGAGAGTTTTTGTTGGATCTATTGGATAAGCCATACATACCTTATACATTACCGCATGGACGGAGCTAATAAAGGCCCGGGGTGGCCTAGCTTTGTAGTGCCTACTCTTAAATTTTGTGGTTTATAAAATTATGTCTTTATTTTTTCTTTTACTCTTCATATTTTTTAAATTTCTTTAAAAGAAAAAATTAAATTTTCCTTCCTCAATTGAAACTCTTAACTTTTTCCTTTTAAAGTTCTCTCATTTTTTTTTCTTCTTTCTTCTTCTATTTCTACTTCTTAAAATTCTACTTTTAACGTGCATATTTAAATAATTTTCTTCTTCTAATTTTAGGTAACAAATTTATAAGTATTATGTTAATAGTACTAAGTGGTATATATATATATATAAAGAAATATATTACATTATTACTAATTTTTATTCTAGTTATGACTTATGATATATATACTTGTAACTAACAAAACTTGATAACCAGCCCCGTCTAATTCCATTATGGGCCCGGTGGAAGATCCAATCTGGTCAGGAAGTTTGTGACCCCTAAACCCAGTCTACCAGTTCCGCCCACAACCAAGATGGAAATTGGACCAAGTCTTTGAGTGACCCAGAACGTCGAACACAATGATGTGGCCCCACTGTTTCACATTATGGGTTCTCCCATTCTAATTCCATAATGGACCCGGCGGAAGATCCAATCTGGTCAGGAAGTTTGTGACCCCACCCCAGTCTACCAGTTCGGCCCACAACCAAGATCGGAATTGGATCAAGTCTTTAAGTGAACCCAGTACGTCAAACACAATGATGTGGCCCCACTGTTTTACAGTACGGGTTCTGCATTCAGCCACAATCAATTTCCTGACCTTTAAACTCCCGGCCTAAGTCAAATAAAACAACTACGGGTTTAAAAACAAAATTGTAAAATTGGTAAATTTTAAATTACGCATAATAAAACTGGGAATGAAATCGTTTGCGAAAGTATGCTCGGAGCTAGGAATTTGGTTTAGGGGGCATATTAAGCCTAATTAGTTTTTTTTTTAACTAACTATAACAAGAAAACAGGTCGAAAATATAATAGTGTAACAATAGTGCATTAGAATAATAAGTGAATCAAAAATAAATAAGAAGAGAAAAAAAGAAATAATTGCACATAAATTATGCATGAGTGCAAGAAAAAAAAAAAATTTAAGAAGAAAGAGGGAATTTTTAAGAAGAAGAAAAAATAAATAAAAAATATATATGGGAGAGAACTTTGAAGGAAAAATATATATATATATGTCTTAATTGGAGAAAGAGAATGCATAAGTTTTTGAAAATGATAAAAAGAAATTTGAAAAATAAGAAGGAAAAGAAATAAAGAATTAATGTGATTTTTAGAAATAGATTATTTTAGGGGGAGTAATTTATAAATTTTAGGGGGTTTATAAATATTTACAAATTATATGCATAAAATAAAATAAAATTTAGAGGACTCATGAGCCCCATGGGCAGAGGAAGCATTTTATCAAAAAAAAAAAAAATTGGGGTCAATTTTTACAAATAATAGGCATAGAAAAAAAATATTCTAGTGGGCCATAGAAAAAAAATATTCTAGTGGACCAGCAGGGCTGTGGGAGCTGCCCCTATAAGCATATGCTAGCTCCAAGGTCCACCCCTGCTCAGAACGACACTTGTTGAGATTGTGTGACTTAAATTTTCAGCACTTAAAATTAAGTATTTGAAATTTTTAGTACTCAAACAGTACCTTAGTGTTGTTTAATAAAATAATTTGAAAGCACTGAATTTTAAGTGCTAAATATATTAATTATCTTCTATACATAATACTGTTATACAAGATTATATATATATACATATATTTATATATAATATAAGATAATATAAACACATATAAGAAATTATGTATTTCACAAAAAAGTAATATATCATTTTGACAATGGATGTTAATATCATATTGTAAAAATACTAAAATCAAAATATAAAACATGTGTAAAGATGATAAGCAGAAAATAATTATATTCACTGGAATAATTATATTACTTCGATGACTCAAAAAATGAGGCTAGCCTTTTCAAGGGGTCTTGCTCAGAAGATTGAGAATCTTTCAAAGATGCTCCTGACTCATCAACTGCTTTCTTAATTGGTCCTTAAGGCCTTGCTGAACCGATTTTACAACAAAAAGGTTGAATATTTTCTTGGAATTTCGATCTATCAATTATCTTCTAATGATTTAAGCAAAAGACTGCTAAAACTTGAATTTCCTGCACTTTGTCGTCTTGTCTCTCTGAACTTGAAATTCGTTGAGATAATTCGCTATTAATTTAATTTTCACTCGACTATTTTAATTTGAGCTGTTTAATCTATAATTAAAATATTGTCAGGTATGTTGGTAAAAGATATTATCAAAACCTAACACGTTCTCGTCCAAGTATTACATGTAAAATCTTTTCATGTTAATCATGTTGAGAGGTAAATGAAGTACAAATATAAAATTGTATAGATAAAATTGGTGAAATAAAATAATATGAAGGGTATGAATTATGAAAAAGAAATATTTAGGAAAAGGAGATTATAATTCGTGCCCAAATCATTACTTTTTTATTTATGGTGGGAGGATGCATGACAGTTGATTATAAACTCAAATGAACTATATAGTGTTTATTTTATTTATATTTTGTTAATATTATTTGAATTCACGTGCAATGTTAGTTTAAACTTTTGACTTATTGGAGTAAATTAAAAATAAAAATCCATTTATAACACATAGAGAGTCGATCAACAGGTTTAATCTGGTTTTAGTAATTTATTCTGTAACTCATAGGAAAAGTGGTGAGAACATGAAGGTAAATTTAACATTAATAAAATATTTAAAACCTAAAATTACTCTGCGATAACTAATTAGCACCTCCATTACGCTCTTAAAATTTTAATTTGTTTTAAACCGTGGGAAATAGTTTAAGTGGTAGCCTAAATTGTAAACAAATAGACACTTATTTTTATAAATCGCTTAGGCATAGTCGTCCTAAATTTTAAATCGAAAATGAAGTCGATGTACATGTTGCCCACTTGTCAAAAAATTGTTCCTATTTTCATGGTACATCAAAAAAGATATATATATATATATATATATATATATATAAGGATAAAACTACCCTTTTTCATTATGATAGGTTCTTCAAAGAATCAGTTTAACTCAACACCTTCATTTTCTTTTAAAGATTCAATCTTTATATATTAACATATAGAGAGATGATGATATATACACGATATATACACGGTTATATACGGTTTCAATTGAACTAAAATTGTGGAATTAAATTTCAATCAATTTGAGAAAGAGAGATGTATGGTTCAGCAGAGGCAGAGGTTAATGGATAGTTGGATAATTAATGAGGATAATGATAGTTGGAAGAGGATGGATAGTTGGATAATTAATGGATAATCACAACATATGGTAAATGATATTAAAGGATAAGTATTTATGTATTTAAAGACACGTGATTGGTTGGTAACCAGAGACCATGTAGAAATTTTGAGGATAATTTTACTTCACTTCCTTATATAATGCTCAGTTCCAAAAAAATGTCTTATTTGAAAAATCGAAATGAGTCACAGTTCAAATAAAATATCTAATTTGGGAAGTAGGTAATGTATATAGGAGTATATACCTAACCAATAAAGGATACGGTAAAGCAAGAAAACATTTTCCTTTAATCTTTCCAATGTTGTCATGTAAAAAGCATAATTTCTGTAAGTTATACATCATCAAGCGACTAGGATTGGGACCAACTCCTCCGCCCAAAAACAGACTAGTAATTTCTCCTGAGGAGCTCTCTTGAAAAGCATTAAAAATAAATGAGAAATTCATATTGTAACGCTTGTTTATTTAGTCAAAAGTTCAAACGGTTAGATAATACTATATATTCCCTATTTATATTCAATCACTTTTTCATTCGGATTTGAGGTAAGACAAATAACCCTTATTACATTCTCCCTTATCCAAATTCGCAACGTTCTTGTTGCGGTTCGGGCCACTCTGCCTACTCGGAGTGTTATTCCGGATGCCTTTCGGGCCGGGCGTTTGGCGAGACACCGAATCAAGGATTGGGTTTAACTCTGATACCAACTGGATTAGTACTTGTCAATTTATCCAAAAATTTAAGTTATTGGGTAGTACTATGTACCCACCCATTTATATCTAATCATTTTTTTTATCCGGGTCAAAAATTTCTTTTTTCTCACACAGTGACATTTGAGGACTCTACTCTGATCACCGTTGTGATCCCAATGAGGCAAATGACCTCTGTTACAATTATACATGAATGCACTTGACTTGGACATTGCATCAACAGTCCAGATCTCTTGCTAACTAAACATAAACCACAATGTTAATGTACAATAATAGCTTATTGATTTCTATAAAAATAAACCATCCCCATTCCCACCCACCCAGTAAACGAGCCCATCAATTCGCCTATCACAACGTGCTGTTCGTTGACTTTTTGATTCTCTCCTGTTTCTATTTTCAATTCATTATTTCAAAGTCCAAACGCTCTAGCTTCAATCGTTCAAATGCGGACGTGTCGGCCACTCCATGAATAGCACCATGCAGGTGCATGCAGCACATCATAGCCAACAAATTATATATGTGTGTGCGTAATGTACCACCACGTACGAGTTACAACTCAACGTGCTGAGCTCTATGTATCTTCGGTTAAATTCTCAAAAACGTGAAGGCTACCATCCTTTGCATTTCTCTCTCAATAATTAGACAATTTTCTTCTCTCTCTCTCTCTCTCTCTCTCTATCTATATATATATATATGTATGTATGTATGTATTTTGGAATGCTTGATAAGTTGCAGGATTGTGGGAGGGACACAATCTAAGTGAGCTTCATTTCAGAGACACGGAGAACAAGTCCGAGTGAACGACGATGACGATGTGTGCTTCATCCACTATTGTCTTCTTGGCATTGTTAGCAGCTGCCATAATAGGCTCTGAGGCAACCATTGTCGGTAGCTTTAATTACGGTGATGCCCTTGACAAAAGCTTGATGTTTTTTGAGGCTCAAAGGTCCGGCAAACTACCTGTAAATCAAAGAGTAAAATGGCGCGGCAATTCTGGACTTAGAGATGGCTTCCTTCAAGGAGTGAGTCTCTCCCCCTCTCTAAAATTACACACACACACACACACACGAGGGTAGGCATTGGCACACGTTAAGGTTGCTCCATTTGAAACTAGAAATAGCTAGCTCCTCCATGCTGGAGGTAAGGCTGAAAGGCAAGACTACATACATTTGACCCCTTTCAGACTCCACAATGGATAGATTGTATACATCCGACCCCACAATGACAGGAACTTTGTGCACTGGCCTATCCCTTTTATTTATTATATATATCCATGTGTATGTATATATACGTTGGTATTATGTTATGAAGTGTATTTTTTTGGGTGTGCATTTATATGTGTGTGTGTGTGTAGGTGGACTTGGTGGGAGGGTATTATGATGCAGGGGATCATGTGAAGTTTGGGCTGCCAATGGCATTTACAGTGACAATGCTTTCATGGGGAGCAGTTGAGTACAGGAAAGAGATTGTGAGTCAGAACCAGATGGGACACACTTTGGGTGCCATCAAATGGGGAACTGATTACTTCATCAAAGCACATACTCAGCCTAATGTTCTATGGGGACAGGTATTTTTATTTTTTTATTTGGTTACTAGCATTCATATTTTTCCTACTTACTGCAACAATATGCGTGTACAGAGACAAGAAATTAACATTCAATTGTTTGGTCACCTATTTCATAAATAGTTGTTCATATGCCATCACTATCATTAAAACTCAAATGTTTAATTAAATGTCCAAACAACTTCTCTTCTCTATAATAATTTTTTGTTTGGGGTCAATTCACTATCATTAATGTGTGTGTGTACCCTGTTCTTAATTTTTCCAAATAAAATAAAAATGACCAAATTAATTTTTTTGTTTTTGTTTTTGTTTTTATAAGTAATGGTTTGACAAATAAAATTACAATTACAGATCAATCTCATTTAAACATTACTAGACTTGTGCATGATCAAAGATTTAATGGACTTCCAGCATGTAAACTTTTTTTTTTTTTTGAGAAGTTTCCAGCATGTAAACTTAATGGTGAATAAAAATGTCATGGTGTTTATTTTGAGCATGAGCATAGTCATATTTTTATTAGTTATCTAAGAATGTGGATTTCTGTATAAATAGAATTATAAATTCAATGTCCAACTATCCTACTAACAGCATGGTGTTAATTGGCAAGTGCCCTAATTAGCCACAGTTTTAATGACTTTCAAAATTAAGATCCAAAAACTAAGAACAAAGAACTAAGAAATAAATAATTGAAGGAGAAACAGCTAAAATTATAATCTTTTAGCTTTTAAAAAAACCACTAAGATCAGCTATTAATCATGAGAATAATATGAAAATTACAGTTTTTTTTTTTTTTTGGGTTGCATGTTTACTTGTAGCTCGTGACTAATGGGTGGTTTATATAATTTTATTTGTATATGATGATTAATTTGGTGCGATAAATTCAGGTAGGGGATGGAGAATCCGATCATTATTGTTGGGAGCGAGCCGAGGACATGACAACTCCCAGGACTGCCTACAAAATTGATCCAAATAACCCCGGCTCCGATCTTGCCGGCGAAACTGCAGCCGCCATGGCTGCAGCTTCTCTAGCATTCAGGCCTTACAACTCTTCCTACTCTGATCTTCTCTTAGTGCATGCAAAACAGGTCATGATCAGGAACTTGATACTCTCATATTAATATATAAAAATATTTTACTAATAAGTTAATCATGTATGTAGAAACAATTTCAATAATATATATATATATATAAATAACTTGTAAATGCAACCAGATGGAATTCTACATTTTTATACTAGTCCATCTGAATTGCTCATAATGTTGTGTGTCTGTATATGTATGTGTGTGTGTGTGTCTACATTTCTATAATAGTCCATCTGAATTCTAAGCAATTCCTCAAAGAATACTCTAAATTTCAACTGATATTGTTCTTCAATTTGCTGCAGCTTTTCTCATTTGCTGATAGATTTAGAGGCTTGTATGATGAATCCATAGACTGTGCTAAGGAGTTCTATACTTCGTCTGGTTATTCGGTTAGTCTCTAATGACTCCATTAATGCATTCAACATTCCTTCCTTCCTTGAATATTCTTGCCATATTCTGTATTGATTTTCTCAATATTGTTTATGGTGAAGGATGAGCTGCTGTGGGCTGCTACATGGCTCTTCCGAGCAACCAAAGACGAGTACTATCTGAGATATGTCGCGGAGAACGCTGTCTCTATGGGTGGAACTGGATGGGCAGTCAGAGAATTTTCCTGGGACAACAAATATGCTGGAGTACAAATTCTTCTTTCTAAGGTAATCACAATCCTGTAACGCCTAAAGAAGTACAAAATCTAATTCAACTAAGAAAATTTAGTAACATATTCAAAGCTTTTTACAGGTTTTGTTGGAGAGACATGGTGGAGCATACACTTCAACACTGCAGCAATATCATGCCAAAGCAGATTTTTTTGCTTGTGCTTGTATGCAAAAGAATGATGGCTACAATGTCCCCATGACTCCTGGTTAGTACTTCAATTGCCATTTTTGTTGAAGTGTTGAAATTAAGTTTTTTTCTTTTTGTTCTGATACATACATATATATATATGTTTATGATCAGGGGGCTTACTGTACTTGCATGAATGGAACAACATGCAATATGCTTCCTCTGCTGCATTTCTTCTTGCTGTCTACTCCGGTTATCTCTCCGAGGCAAATGCTGTGCTCAGATGTCCGGATGCCCAAATTCAACCTCATGAGCTATTCAATTTTGCTAAGTCACAGGTACTTACATCCTAAAGAATCCTATAGTTTTTTTCTTGACTTACCCGACACTCGGGTCCCGGAGGGGATTAGTCTTGCCCACTCAACACTAAAACATAAGCATTTCTTTACTGCAGGCTGATTATTTTCTGGGCAAGAACCCCAAGTCCATAAGCTACTTGGTTGGTTATGGGCAACACTATCCTCTTCATGTTCACCATAGAGGTGCTTCCATTGCCCCCATATCCGTTCTCCGGGCATCAGTTGGTTGTGTGGAAGGATTCGAGACATGGTATCATCGCACTGAGGGAAATCCTAATGTCATTTATGGAGCCCTGGTGGGAGGTCCCAACAAGAATGATGAGTTCTCCGATGATCGTTCCAATTACGAAGAAACCGAGCCTACACTTACTGCCTGTGCTCCTCTGGTAGGCCTCTTCTCTAAGTTGCAGAGTGTGTATCATCAAAATTCACCAATGCCACTTCAAACAACACCAAGTGAGTATCAGAAAACCTCGATGTCATAGTGTCCTGAACACTTAATAGGGATAAACCCATATATTTTTATATATGGTTCAATGCATATTAGTTCATGTTGCGTCATGTCAAAGGACACTAATGACAGCATCCCCTGTTTGGCTGCTGTGAAAAAGAAGCAGACAAGAAAAGAAAGGAGGATGGGGGAAGGAATTGTTTTCTCATGAAAACCATAAGTGTGCCATAAAATGTGCGATGCACATATTTTTCAATTAGCATATCATAAAATCTATTTTGCCTTTGATTTTACAGGTCTGTACGCCAAAGAAAGTGAACAATCCAACTCAAAATCAGGTTAGTAGATAGTTGCTTGACCATAATTGGTTCTTGCATGACCAAAGGTTTTCAAAATCACACAATTCTTTTAAATGGGTGCCCGCTCCCATTCTCACTCTCGTTCTGTGTAACTTAAATGTTATCCCGCTCTCACACTCTTTTAGCATATGCCCGTATATGGGATACACCCCAATCTCCAATTTGGGAATTACACAACGAGTTTTAGCTTCTATCATACATAAATTCAAATTTTAAAGGACTATTCCTAGTGGACCAAATGAGCTTTGTGACTGAAATTGAAAGAAGTTAATATGACTATTATTAGGCATTCTGAAAAAGACAAAACCAAATTTGTTGCAGCTGTCCCAGTTGAATTCCTTCACTCAATTTCATCTTCATGGAGTATTGGAAGAACAACTTATTACCGGCACAAGGTGATAATCAAGAATGTTTCTCAGAAACCAATCACCAATCTGAAGTTGAGAGTTGAAAACCTCACAGGGTCTCTATATGGTCTCTCCCCAACTCAAGAAAAGGGCACCTATGAGCTTCCTCAATGGCTAAAGGTCTTGAACCCCGGTTCAGATTGCAGTTTTGTTTATGTACAAGGGGGTCCCCAAGCCAAAGTACTGGTTCAAAGCTACCATTAGCCGCCCACGAGGATTTAGATTGAAATTTGCTCTGATAAATTTCCACGGACGGATTTGGATTGGTTATTCTTATTGTTGTTGTTTTTTAACAATGCAGATAAATCTGCAGATTATGAATTATACCTTCGCTATACTTACTAGAATTACTTAACTTGTTATCTAAAAGGGAGAGAAAATGTAATATCTAGTAAATCCTTAAATTTAATTTTATAGAGAGTGCCATATTATTGAAACATGAGCCTGAGCAAGCTTGGAAATAGCTTTCAGCTTATATTCATATGGAGAGGGAGAAAGAAGCGTCGTAGAACCTTTGCAATAAAATCATGGTAGTTAAAAACGCACCAAGTAAATTGTCATTTGGTTAAAACTTTGCTGCCCCATGTATACTCTCTCAAAACTCTCTAATAAAATAACCAGTAAAAATGCACCGAATAAATTGTCATTTGGTTAAAACTTTGCTGCTTGGTCTTCTACTCTTCTCAAAACTCTTCAATAAAATAATCAGTACATTCATTCAAGTAAAAACTCGCCAAAATCTTGGTAAAAGGGCACAATTGTCAGATTTGATGGATGTGCAAATACTATAATGAAAAAGGATTTTAACCTGCCATCGGAACCAAAATACAAATAAACATGAGACCACCAAAGGCTATAGAAAACTGCAAGAACTTGATATACCCCTCTGCGGTGCTGAGCAAAACCCCACGTGTAACACCACCACATAATCAAAACAGGCATAAAATTTCTCATATAGCTTAGAAGAATAATCACCAAAAGCTACAGATACCAAATGCAAGAACGAAATATAATAGGAACATTTTGGCTATATTACCCTAGAGTTACTGAACGCAAACCCAAGTGGAAGTCAAATCCACATGGGCAAAATATCACATTGTCTCTCATCAAAACTTGAAAAGAATAAAATAGGTACTATAAGGAGAACCAAAAAAAAAAAAAAAAAACTAGTAAACAAAACCAGAACAGGCATCTTCAATACCCTCCTTGAAGGATCCTAATCATCACCGAATGTTGTCTTCTTTCCTGCAAAGATTACGTTTGACGAGTTTTTAAAAAGCAAAACAACCGGAGGCAGGAAATACTCCGACAACAGACAAGAAACAGGACAATTGACGAAAATTCTAGACACGCTTTTCTATACTTGTAGATAGTCGAGATTAATTTATTCAAATCTGAACAGCAAAGCAGATTCAATGGAAGAAGTGTTCCAAGGGAATATCTGTAAAAGTACAAGAACTGCATACCTGTACTAGTAAATGCTCCACGTCCTCTACCACCACCACCACCAAAACGGCCACCACTACCACCACCAAAACGGCCACCACCACCACTTCCAAAACGGCCACCACCACTTCCAAAACGGCCACCACCACCTCGTCCACCACCACGTCTACCGCCAAACCGACCACCACTATCCCTGCCTCCACTCCTTCCACCACGACCACCTCTGTCACCACCACCATCTCTTGGCTTTGCCTCTTCAACAGTCAAAGGATAGTCTCCAAGTTCAGATCCATTAAGCTCCAGAGCTTTGTTGAAAGCCTCACCATCCATAAATTCCATGTAAGCAATCCTGCAAACCATAAAAGATGATGAAAAGCAAATAATAATCAACATTACACTTGAAAATCAATGTAAGCAGTCCTGCAACCGTCAAAAATGATGAAAAGCAAATAATAATCAAAATTACACTTGGGAATTAAAGTCTCAATCAAAGTATGTGGATCAGTAGTACAAAAATCCTATTTCACCTGTCTAAGGCCACAACTACAGACTCACTGAACTACAAGCTATAACATTTCACCTAACATTACACTTGATCTGAAACCAAATCACTTTTTCCTGAGAAAGCAAGTTATTGTTCTTCAGGGCATGTGAGCAAACAAGTTAATATAATTATCTGATTGGAAAAAATAACTAAGAGAGGAATATTGAATTTTCAGTTGTATTTAATTCTAAGGGTTAAGAAATTTCATAAGAGTTGGGAGATCTACTATTGCCCACATACAAATTATACAATGGCCATTATGCTATTTGCCCATATGAGGACTTGGACCCCTCAACATTCTACTTTGGAAGGAGAGAAGTACCATTGGGCCGCAGGCCTTGGGAATTATACTCTTAATTTAGCAAAATCTCACAATAATTTGGAAAGAAAGAACACACACCAAAAAAATTTAAAAAACTCAAAAAAAGTTGAAAGAAATGTCACAAACAAAACTGCAAGTTCACCAATCACCATACTTTTCACTTCATTTTTTTTTCCTTTTCTGAAAGACGAGGTTCAAAAACTAATGATGCACATTACTTCAATTAACAAGGTAAAATAATTTTGTACTTACTGCAACATACCATATCGTCCCAATAACCCCTATTTATTACATCACCATTACATTTTACAACACATACAATTCATGCACACGATAGCAGATCCATGCTTTGCATGTCAATAGTAAGAACTTTCATTCTTAGATTCTTTTTTTTTTTCTAACAAAGAAAATATCATGGAAAGAACAAACTAAATTAATACCTGACAACAATTTCAACCTCCAGAAAACCTTTTGCATTTAAGGCTTCTATGAAGGAACTCCATTCGATGCATAGTCAAAGCAAGGTATTTGCAAGATTCAAATTGAATCCATAACATATTGTAGTACATTACACAAGGTATGCTTTAAAAAATAAATAAATATTACTTCATCTTCCACAACTACAATATGGAGATATTATTAACAAATACATTGCAATGTATTTAAAATGCATCATATACATATGGATTTTTTTGTCACGGATTTGCAATTTTATTCAAAAAATATATATATTGCAAACTATCCATGAACAAGAATATCAATAATCAATAAGATCAATTTATACCAAACAAGATTTAAATTGGAAAAAGAATACAAACCCTTTAACACCATTGTCATCTTGTGGAATGGATACCCTTGAAATCTCTCCACAGGACTCAAAATGTTGCGCCAGCACACTCCTAATCTGCAACTCATAAATAGTACAAATTGACAAATATATTGAAGTGTGAAGAAGTAAAGAAAGGCCAACGCTAGCAGAAAATATGCTTGCAAAACAGACCTTATCCTCGCCACCCTCTTTATCAAAACCTCGTATAAATACTGTTTGTCCTTGAGCTCTCCCTCCCTTCTGATACGAGTTTCTCTCGTTCCTAAAATTTATGGTTATGAAAAATTAAATCATGAATATATTCAGTGTAGATCAGGCAACTTTTAACACAAAAACCCAAGTTATACCCGCTAAATGGAGTGTACGAGCCCCTTTCCTTGGCAAAATCAAGTCTCACAGGACGACCTAAGAGATCTTGATTGTTCAACTCCATAGCCTGTGATAAGCACAAACATTCCATAAAATTAGAGCACATTCCACCATAAGCACAAACATTCCATAAAATTAGAGCACATTCCACCACACTGGTTGTCTCAAATCCCTCTTTACGAGCAAACATATCAAGAACAACAAAGATATCAAGGAATTTCCCGATAATGTTACATATACAAGCAATATATATATATATAGGTGCTTAAACAAATGAATATATATTTTTACACTATATATATGAAAAATAAAATTTCTACGTTTGTAACATGCTGTTTTTCACTTAAAAATTATACAATAATGATCTTCCGCATAGAGAAAGACATAAGAACATAGTAAATATATATATCCGGTGTTTGTATATGTAAAATGTACATGTAAAACACATGATATGATAACTCTATACCACTACAAGTGTACTCTTTCACCTTAATATGGCTGAACTGTATATAAATTTTATATAAACAATATGATTTCCTTAAGAATCATAATTTCTCTCTATGCTAAATGAAATTTTTATCCAACACCTCAAGACTCGTTTCTACAAGTAGCTGGAACTTCGAACGTGTATGAGAGAATCTCCGAAAGGTGCTGGTGCCTAACACGCGTCAGATTTAGATCCTTAGAAGTGTTAAATGAAGCCAAACTTTTCAAAAATGTATGGAAATTTCTTAATCTAATGTTCCCACACAAAGAACGACTAAAACATTATATATAGAATATAAATTTGGAGCATTAGTGACCCATCTAATCAGGCTACTAGGTCTGTTAGTTATGACTGAAACTATCAACCATAATGTAGCTCTATTGAAATGAATTAAATCCACACGACTATATTTGGATCCAGGGCCTTCAGTTACTGCTCGAAGTAAGGGCGGGTTTTTTTTGTTTTGCCTGGACACAAAATTAGAAGGTATCTGGGATAACAGCAAAAATACAAATATCATAATTATAAAGTGAGCATAAAAGCATTCAGGGCCCAATTAGTGGACTCTACCATTAGTCACGGAAAGCAGAGTGGTGGTGCTGAGAACCATATAGAATATTTAGACCCATTCAACAAACCTTCTTATTATGAAAAATTCAGGACACCAATATACAGGATCTAAATTGATGGGCGGAATCACTATTCAACAAAGCCATTACAGTAACTGTCAATGTCCAAACCAAATATCACCATTCCAGTGGGGCACATACAGTGACATATCAGAAATTTTCCACAAGCTTCATGTAAGCATGAGTTGTTAAAGGAGACAAGTATACCTTTTGAGCAGCTTCTACTGTGGCAAACTCAACGTGGCCAAAGCCCTTCAATCTGTCAGTCTCTTTATCAACTGCAAAGCGGACATCAACAACTTCTCCAGCGTCTTTAAAGAAATCCACCCTGTGGAATACATAGTAGACAGATGAAGAACAGTTCTGATAATTATGTCAAATTAAAACTAAGCTAACACTCACACAATAGATTGTTCAATAGAATAGGATAAGTTGCCAATGAACAGTGTTTTTGATCCTTCTGCGTTTTGAACTTGAGGAGTGGCAGGACTTTTTGGCTGCATAAAAAAATTGTGACAATTTATATCTCAATTCTATGGCATATAATTCATACTAATGATAAAGTGGATAACAGAATAAACAAAGCAGAAATATTTTTCAAAAGAATCAATACTTACAGCTTTCTTGGTCTCCGACTTCGACAGCGCAGCATCTACCATTTCTACATCCCTGTCCTGTTTCGCCAAGAAATTCTTCAAATAAGTGAAGGAATTCTAAAGCCAAGCAACAGCTTTACAAACTCCAGTTTCAGCAAACTTCGAAGCATGCACAACTAAAACAGCCTCTTCTTTTGAAAAAAAATAAGTATGCATACCATTTTGTGCATATAAGCCATTAAATATATTCAAGTATGATTACCAAAATAATTTCTGTTGAAATCACACTAAGATAATGACTATATGTACAATAGAATCGGTAACTCTAACTATAATAATTGTTTCATTCATTTCATTTTGTTATGCGATTATATAAGATCGGTTCAAATTATTAAATTAATATCTTTTAATGTGAAACCAAAGAGCGCCAAGAAATTCTTCAAGTAAGTTTGTTCAGTATAAAGGCATGTATTCACTTGTCAAAAAAAAAAAAAGTACATGTTTGACCATGACCAGTAAGAAAGTATTCTAAAGCCAACCAACAGATTCACAAAGTCCAGTTCCAGCAATCTTAAAACATGCCAAACTAAAATATCCAGCCACTTCTTTTAAACAAGTATGATTATAAGCCATTTATTATGTTCAAGCATGATTATCAACACAATTCTATTTCAATCACTAAAATAATGACGATCTGAAAAATATGATTGGCAACACTATCCAAAATAATTATTTTATTCACCTCATTGTGTTATGCAAATATATAAGATCAGACCAAATTATCAAATTAACATCTTTTATTGTGAAACTATAGCAGAACACTAACCGAACAATCATCAACTAAACTCTTAGGCATATATCTAATACTGAAGCTGCCAAACATTCTCAAATTTTATAAAGGAAAACGACAAGTCCAATGTAGTAGTTCAAATTTCAACTACATTATTTGAGGAAGTGGTCCTCACATTTTTCTTTGGAGTCTTGGTAGGCTGCTGCTCCTCTTCCTCCTCGGAATCTTCTTCACCTGAAGAAGTCTCCTCAGAACTGCTTTTCTTTAGAACTTGGGTAGGCTGCCACAATTAAGTACAATGAGAAGAACATGAATTAATTACAATTCTTCAAATATCAAAATCTGCAGTTAAAATATTTTCAATTTCTCAGAAAAAAATCATATATAAAATAGGGACCTAATTTGGCCAGAAGAGAGCAAATTTAAAGCATACTTGATTATCAATACGGCTGAGCAGCTCTATCTACAAAATATCATATATAAAATACTTCAAAAAATTTACTACATATCATTTGAGGGAGTGGTCTTAACATTTTTCTTTGTAGTCTTGGAAGGAATCTCTTCTACCTCCTCGGAAGACTCTTCCTCAGAAGAACCCTCCTCAGAACTGTCGCTTTTCTTTGAAACTGGGGTAGGCTGCAGCATTTAAGTACGAGCATGAATTAGAAGGAACAACAAAACTAAACAAGGCCACAAGAAACATAACTGATATACTTATAATAAATACATATAATGTGCATGACAAAATACCGGGGCTTTCATCTTTTTCTTTTGAGGCTCTTCATCTTCACTTTCCTCAGAACTGTCATCATCACTGTCATCTTCTTCAAGGTTAGCCTTTTTCTGTCGTTCAAGAAGAGGGTATTATCAACAAAAATTTACTGCACAAACCATACCACAAAGATAACAGCCCCAAAAAATCACAAGGGTAATAAATCTCCCAACACAACCAGTAGAACGAAAGAAGCCAAACACAAGATTCACAATCCCATTATATGCTTCATGGCCCTTTTGTGCCACTGAACAAAAGTATAACAAGGAGAAAGACAGTACCTGTTTTGATTCCTTTGTTACAGTTGTGGAAGATGGCCTTTTTGAAGGAACAACTTTTGTCACGGGGGCCTGACAAATAATAAGAAATAAATCAGTATTATCCATAGCGCATGGAAGCAGAAAGCAGCTTTACAAGTATCTCAGTTATTTAGAGATTAAGGGCATATATACATTTATGTCCAACACTTAGAAACTGACGTAAACCTGAGACAAATTTTGAGTGCTGGGGAGTAACATTGAGATTAGACAAGGACTGAGAGAGGAGGGAGAGAGAGGAGGAGATATTCATAAATGCTTAAAATGTGACGAGTTAACTGTCAGAGTGATTATGGATGTCTTTAGATCTGAAACTCATCTATACAGTATTGGTGGTTTTAGCAATGAATTTCAGTGAGGATAGCTCAAGTCAAAATCACTGGAAAATGAATCAAGCAACCTTTGTGATGGTGGTAAAGATTAGCCAAGCTGATGATTAAGATATTGTTAATGCAGCCAATGATCAACTGAGATTCAGTGGTAAAGAACATTATCAAGGATGACAAATCTGCAAATATGGATGGAAGATGATGGGTCCACAATAAAAGAATAATAATTCAAAGTATTAGCAATGATATGGTTCATCTCTATGAAATCTGTGCCAAATGAATAATAATTCAAAGTATTAACAATGAATTTCAGTAAGTAAAACTTGGTCTAAAAACTGCAGACTAAATCTATAGATTTCAATGGAGGCAATGTTTAACAGAAATCACTTTCATTTGGTAGCTGCAACAAAATTACAAAGAGGAACCCACCTTTTCTTCCTCGGACTCACTGTCAGAGGAGCTATCACTAGACTCCACTTTCTTTTTTGGTGGTGCAACATTTTCTTCCTGCATATGCCCAGATGAAGTGAGAACTAAAAAGTTACATCAATGCACAAGTAACAAGCTAATTTATACATATCTAGTAACCAAAATTTGGGAATTAAACTGAAGGTACTAGATGCAGTGAAACCAGCATACAGGAATAGATAAGCAGACAAAACATAAATGCAATCCTAATACCCACATCTTCTTCATCTGATGAGTTTTCATCATCAGAACTCTCAGTTGACTCTTCTTTCTTCTGAAGAACCCCAACAGAACCATTTTTTGCGGCTGGCACTTTCGAAGGCACCTTGACTGTGTTCTTCTGCTTATCCTGATCAATTAGTTTTTATGAGAATCTCAATAAATTAAAAGCTGTAATTCCAATGGTAATTAAACCAAGTTTCTCTTCAGTTACTAATATAGTTTCCGGCAATAATATCCAAACTAGATCGAGACATGTGATCAAGTCTCGTGATTTACCCATCTGAGGAGCAATCTGAACTTGAATAACTAGACTCGTACCTTTTTAAACAGTAGTAGTCTCATTCTTAGTGATGAATTTCATAAGCAAAATGAAAATAGAACAAACTCCAATAACACTGCACTCACATCATCTGAGTCGCTGCTGCTGTCATCTGAATCTGAATCATCACTCGATGCATCTTTCTTCTTAGAAGCTGCAAATGGACCGTTCTTAGCTGCAGCTACAGGCACCTTTTTTAAAGGAACTGTAACCTTGCTATTTGGCTCCTATACACAAGTCAGAAGAAAAATTAAAAACTAAATGTAGACTACAGATACAATATGGTTCATTAGATACAAGTAAAATATTCCAGCAAAATACTTGATTAATATCAGAAACCACACAGGATCATGACAAAAAGCTCAACACCTACCATTCTTATTGCTTTTTCAATATGTAAAATGAAAAGGGTCACTCTATTCAAAGTCCCAGTTATGACATCCCTTCTCTCCCTCTTCACAACTTAGAAAAGTGAGCAGTGCTTTTATAAAAAGCACTTTCACATCCGAAATGACCAAGGAGAGGAAAGGTTCCTTTTTTAAGGATATTCCCAATAACAGAACCAACGGGGCCAGGGTAGGTCAAACAACTCAATTGAATTGAGTATGATTTTATGCGTGATAGCATCCACTATACCAGGAATGTCAGTGGAACCCAAATATTCAATTGCTCAGAACACCCTATTTTATATTCTAGGGCTGATCCTTTGTTCAATATCCCTCTGCTAATAGGCCATTCTAAGCTGTAGCTACAGGTACTTTTTTTTAAAAGGAATTGTTACCTTGCCATTTGGCTCCTGTACAGAAGTCAGAAGAATTCAAAATGGGATTCAACATGTTTCATATGATGAGATAAGTAGAATAGTCCAGCAAAATACTCGATATCAAAAAACACTTGAGATCATTTCTTACAGACATAACTCATATACTCACTTCATCCTCCTCCGAATCACTTTCTGAAGAATCAGAACTACTAGAATTCTTGCCACCGTTTCTAGACGCAGCCAATGGTTGTTTCTTGGAAGGCACCACCACTATTTTGACAGCAGGTTCCTGAACCACAGTGGAACGAGGTTAATTCTGAAGAAGGCTAAAACAATTAAAAACATGTGATGTAGTAGTACATGAGCCTCTAAAAACTAAGAGGGTTTGGTGATAAATCAATGCATGGCTTACTTCATCAGAAGATGATTCTTCACTGCTAGAAGATTCTTCTTTAACGACGGCCTTTGCTGGAATTGTGACCTTCTTAGCTGGGACCTTAACCTGACAATTTATAATTTATACAAACCATTTGCATCATATTGTCATTGAAAAAATGGGATCATGTATTGAAGTATTAGGTAATGCACCATTAAAACATCAACATTGCTTCAGTAAATATACTAAAAGAAGAAAAACATAATGACAGAAGCAGTCAACATAAAAGCCTGCACCATGCCCTACATAGATGACCTTCTACCTCATATACTCCATTTTCTTTTTCTATTTTGAAATATATATATATATATATATATATATATATATATATATATTATACCAGTATTTGTTGGGTCGCTAAATTTAAATGAATCCCCCTAGCTACCTTCTAAAAAACAAATAAATAAACCCAAGAAAATAGGAAAATGCATCATTCGTGAAAATTAAAATTAAAATCTTCATTGGTGAAGCTACCAGAAGCAGTGCATGAAGCATAAACTCATATAAGCTAAAACAAATTAAGTACAAAAACTCAAAATAAATTCAAGACCCTTTCATTCAGAAGTGTATTTCATAAAAACACTCTAGAATGAAATTGCAATATTTATCAAACTCTGCTTTAATTTCCTAGTAGTATATCTATTAATTAACGTAGAATTCGTATAAAGTAATCAAAATCACTGTAAACATACAAATTGGCATGGAAGCAATTAAATGAGTGGTTAATTAAACCTTCTGTTCTTCCTCAGAATCTGAGGAATCGGTGTCCTCTGAAGAACTGGTTTCCTCTTTCTTGCTAATAGGCTTCTTTGTCTTTTTCGCCTCGCTTTTCTTCTTTTCAATCGCCTGCTCTACCCCAACATCTATCTTCGGCTTTTTGGCTGTCACTTGCTTCTCTATCGACTCTTCGGCCTCTCTCTTACCTGTGTACATACCATCAATAACACACATATTCACAACCATCAAAAACAACACAAATTCAAAACCATCAAAAAAACACAAAAAATAAAAACCATCAAAAACAAGTGAATAGTAAACTGAAATCAAAAAAAAAAAAGCAAACCTTTCTTTACAGATTTGGTAGGTGGGGCTACAGCAGCAGGAGCTGCAACCTACATCAAAATCAAACGGTTGTTATTCGTACAAAAACGAGCATGTATATATATAAAGACATGATTGGTAGATTTTTCTGAAGAACATGAGAGACAGGAAGGAGGATAACGAAGAGAGACGAGTGTAAGTGTTTACTTTGGTGGCCGATTTCTTGGTGGATTTACCCATCTGAACAAGTAGACTGGACTTGCTGAGACGACGAAAGTTCTAGGGTTTTAGAGGTGGCTGCTACAACCTCTAAGAAACTAAAAAATTAGGGTTTTGGAAACAAAAAGAGAGAGTGTATGTCGTGAGCGAGTGCCTGCGTTATATAGACTCGGAGAGTATAATTTATATAAATATATATATTTTTATTGAAAATATCTGCGGCGCCCTCATTAGGGTTTTTTGCAGTTTGGGTTCTCTTACCTTTTCTCAATCCATAAATATCAACGGCGCCTATTTTTTTCTCATGTGGCATCAAGGCACATCATTTCCCACACATGTGCATAAAAAAAATAAGTATATAAATAAATATATATTAATAATAATAATAATAAATAAATAAAATTAAAAAAATTCACATACAAACACCCACACTTTAAAAATTGACAATTATTACTTAAAAAATATAACGCATTTTGTTTCAAAATAACCAGTGTCTCTATTTCAAAGTAAAATGTGTTTTAAGTAACAGAGTGACATAAATTTTTATTTATTTCTTTCAAGTAAAATGTGTTTTGCATGGTTGGACACTTTTTATAATGGGCGCAAATCACTTATTGTGCGATTCCCATGCTATTTTTTACTTGGTTTTGTCACGTTTTACTCTACTTAATAGACATTAACACTGTGTTTGGCAATTGCACTACTATTTATAAGTAACATTTCACCATCATTTTTAAGTAACATCACAAAAGTCTAAAAGTAATATCACGTAATCTAAAAAGTAACATCACCACCATTTATAAGTATCTTCACCCTCAAAACGTGGTTGTGGAGGCAAAAAATCCCCTCCAATGAAAATAATCCATGTTATCATAAATATAAACTTATCCTTGATAAGTTTATAAAGCCCACCTCGCTCAAGCCCAAATTGAATTTGATACTAGTCCAAAATCACTGTTCACAAGCCCAATACTATTGTTATTTGACCTTCAGCCCTGTTGTAGCCCGAATCAAGAGATTATCAGCCCAACATGTTAATATTAAACATCCGGCCCGTTATTCAAGCCTAACTGGTTCAAGGTATATTCAGTCCAATTTTCCAAGATTGAACAAGTCCTATCGGTAGAGGGATTTACCATAAAAGGAGAATTCTTTTATAGGAAGTTCCATACAAGGCAAGTTTTACGTAAGAAATATTATACAATAGAAATAACTCTATTTGTAAATAAAGTCATGTATGGAAAGAATTGGAGGACAAGTAACGCGAGTCCTACCTTAATTCTACCAATTTTTATGTATAAAAAGAGGCCTAGACCTCCAATAAAAGGATGGATGAATTATACGTTTTTCTATACATTGTTCTTATTTATTTTCTATTGCTTTTTGAGTGAGTTGTTTTATTTTTCTCAATCATTATTGGTTGAGCGAAATTTTGCACCTACACTTTGGCGCCGTCTGTGGGAATCGTATAGAAATATCCCCACCAAAGTTACAACACTGCAAATTAAAATCTCCAAATCCAGCAACGTGACTTGAAATTAAAATCTTCAAATCAAGGATTTGAACCGAAGTCATCTCCAACAACTACTATCATGGCCAAAGGTGTAACAAGCGCCGACGTCCAAAAACGCAAGCCGACCTACGAGGTTCTTTCCATCAACAACGTCGCTTAATATGCTTTCAGACAATAATGCGTAGCAAGGTTGATGAATGGAAAACCCAAGAGGCATCACGTATGTTTGCCCTACTAATCAGATGTCTATCCGAGTCCGAAAAGCCATAAATTAATCAGATAAGTATTCTGATCTTGATTTCGTGTTAATTTTGATTATACTATATATATATATATATATATATATATATATATTACATATATATATATATGATATTGAGCAACAAATCCAACATGCATAATTATTATATAAGCACTAGCTTGGGAGAATGATTAATGAGTCTCAGAATCCTTTTGTAGATTTACTATTTCGTGCTACAATGTTGCACTCACGGGAATGGAAAATCCCTCTGCAGACATACTGCTACTCTAACCTGTTTTAGTTTCTCTCTCTAGATCTAGATCCACATCATGAACCGCACAGCTGCTCCGTTTGAGCTCCTTGCCATCCCTGGATCTTTCATCATAGATTCATACATCAGGCTTGCTAAGAAGAGGTGGTTACGACCTGGCCAGAAGTGTGTCAAGGTCGACCTAACTCGGGAGAACTACACGTTCGAATTGCAAGCCATGAGCGTCGAGAAGCTTCCGTTCGTCCTCCCGGCGGTCTTCACCATCGGCCCCAAAGTGGAGGATGATGAGAGCATGCTCAAGTATGCTAGGTTCATGTCACCCCATGGCAAGCACTCCAACCATGTCACAGAGCTCGTCCTGGGTGTGATCGAGGGCGAGACTTGTGTCCTCACCGCCTCTATGACCATGGAAGAGATCTTCCACGGCAAAAAATCATTCAAGCAACAGGTTTTCAATAAAGTTCGGCCTGAACTCGAGTAGTTCGGCCTTCTCATCTACAATGCCAATGACAAACAACTTTGTAAACCCATTTTGCCCATCAACGCAACTGCCCAATCACCGAGACTTCAACTTTCTCTTAGCAACGAAACCAGCCACCTTCACCGATCACCGGCTGCCATCAAACCCAGCCATAGTCGCTGGCCATCACCGTCATTTTCACCGGCCGAGTTCAGTCGAAATTCGCTGGAACAAAATCCATCCGAGCCGGCTGCCATCAAGTCCAGACACACTCGCAAGCCATCACTGTCATTTTCACCAACCGTCCAACTTTGCAGCGAGCTCGCCGACCATCTCCATCATCGCTGGCTGCAAGTTCTCACCAAGCTCACGGATCTGTATCGCTGGCGGTTTTCATCTCACCAGTCGTCCATCTCTACCGCGAGCTCATCGGCCATCTTTATCTTCGCCTAGCCGTCGCCCACAAGCGGAATAGCCCGTCGTCCATCACATCCGAGCTTCTCATTGCTCGCCTCCTCTGTAGACTGAAAGTTTATATATATATATATATATAGACTATATATAGCCTAATAGCCACTGTTTGGCTGCAAGAGCAAAGCTATCCTAGTTTTGGATTAGTCCAAAACCAAGCCTACTTTGTAACCTCATTTGAGAACTGGTTCTATGGTAACCCAGTTCTAGGGAAAAAAAAAAAAAATTATATTGCCAATTTGAATTGGGGACTTATTTTGGAGCATTCAAAGCTTTGTCTTCCAAGATAGCTCGGTCTTCCAAGAACCTGAAGAAATCGGTCTCTTAGGTCGGCAAAGTTCTTCCCAGCATTTCATTTTTCAAGGCTAACGGCGAAATAAAGGCTTTCAGAAATTTTTTAAAGATGGGTTGCTGCTCAACGCCACAAACTTCAGCAGACTCATCAGCCGGGCATTTCAAGCATCCTAGGCTTTTTCAGATGCAAATCTCTCTAATAAGATAAGTTTTCCGACTCTGATTTTTATAATCTGAGTTAAGCTTTCCATGATACGAATTTTTGTTAAAAATTAAATACATATTAACTATATATATATATTTACACATGATGCAATCATATTTTGTTATTCATGTAGACGCTCATTATACATAAAGATTTATGACTCAGTTCAAATTGCTTATTCAGTATACTCTTTTGAGTAAAGATATAAAAAAGAGACCACCTGAACTTTTGTTTATGTCAACACTCAACAGATTCTTTAGTCTCTCTTTCTTCGATTATAATCCTCTACGGATTCATCCCTTTCTCCCTCATCGAGGATTTTCAGCATTGCAATCTTAGTTATATCCACTAGCTGTTTTGCTCACAATTGACTTTGATCAGAATTTTAGATTATATCCATTAATTGTTCACTGAAAGTTGATAATTGATCAGAGCTTTAGGACCACAACACTTGATATTGTTGGTTCAGACTCTTCAGAGAGATGCATAACTTCATCACTACTCAACTACAAGAAAAGTTTGACCCTCTACATTGACTTCTAAAATTTATACTTGCATAAAGATCCGTGGCCAAAGGCATTGTTGAATGCACGAGCTATGCTATTTGGTCTATTACTTGAAGTCCCAAAATATTACATGCATTAAATAATTTCAATGTACTTGATAAACAAGAATGAGTAAATACTTTATACTAATTAAAATTTTTAATTATAAATTCAATTGTGATACATAAAAAGTTCTTAAAATTCTTTCTTTTCTTTAATCAGTTGCTAGATGCTACGTGAATCATTTTACATGCTTCTGATAACTTTGCTTACGAATAACTTTGCATTTGCTCCGTGTTCGTAGGTTGATTAATGTTTGGGTTTGATTTATTCGCATTGTAATAAAGATCGATCCCCAAGTGAGTGGCAAATAGTCCAATTATGCAATTATACTATATATGGCAACAGAGCCCTAAAAAGTGGGGGGCAGCCAAAACCACAAAAGTCTCGAACCCTAAGTGTTCGGTACAAATCAACAATTCCTCTCAGGATCATAGCTGGGGAATTACGTGCTTCGGACCCTAAGTGTCTAGTACAAATCAACAATTCCTCTCAGGCTCATAGCCGGGGAATTACTTGCTTCGGACCCTAAGTGTCCGATATAAATCAACAATTCATCTCAGGCTCATAGCCGAGGAATTACGTGCTTCGGACCCTAAGTGTTCGGTACAAATCAACAATTCCTCTCAGGCTTATAGCCGGGGAATTACGTGCTTCGGACCCTAAATGTCCGGTACAAATCAACAATTCCTCTCAGGCTCATAGCCGAGGAATTACGTGCTTCGTACCCTAAGTGTCCGATACAAATCAATAATTCCTCTCAAGCTCGGCGCCGAGGAACTATTCGTTTTGGACCCTAAGTGTCTGGTTCAGCACGTTTCCTCTCAGGCTCAGCACCGAGGAACAATTGGCTTCGGACCCTAAGTGTCCGGTTCAGCACATTTACTCTAAGCCACACAGAGCTGTCGAGAAATAAAATTCATCTTCGGACCTCAAGAGGCTAAGGATTTCAAACTTCCTCTAAGGTACACAGAGCTGCAAAGAGGAATAAAATTTATCTTCGGATCTCAAGAGTCCGAGGCCTTCAGAATTCCTTTAACGCATAATGAGCTGCAACGAGGAATAAAATTTCATGAAAATTACAAAATAGTGTCGAT